GAAATCCGAATGAAGATTGGTTCTATGGGTACCCACGAGTCTCCCCTAAACTTGAGAAGGCTTGTTCCCTGTAAATGGTTCATTCCTTACAATCAATGCAGTCCTTCAGATTAAAGCTGAATGTCCGTCTTTAAAAAAACAAACAAAAAGGACATCAAGTCTATTTGAAGAACGATGAATCCCCCTTGTTCCTGTTCCAACTCAAAGTATTTGTAGTAGTAGTAGTCTATGCACATCAGATAGTTGGTAATATTAACTGTAAAATGAGAAACTAGTATATCAGTATGTGATTCTTTAACTCTCCTATAGAGACTACTAAAACAGCATGATGGAATTCTTGAAAATCAGGTATGACTTTTGGTTTTGGTAGGGCTACATGATATCGGTGCATCATCAGTATCGGCCAACATTGGCTTTAAAATGAACTATTAGAATCGGCCAACATGCTTTTTCTCATTTTACACAATGAATAAATATTACATACACTGAGAAGCGTTCTGTTAAATGTCTCCATCTGCTGGTGGGCCATCACAATAAGAGTACGCATGCATAATATGATGTGAATTCCACTACAGAAGAGACTTGATGAGCACTAAAATTAGGGAAAAAGTGGATATATTGTATCGGGTATAGGTTATCAGCTAAATAACTTGTTCTATATCGGCATGTCGGATATCACCAAAAATCCAATATATGCATCCCTAGGTTTTGGTGTGCCTGCTGAATATTTTCGGTGGCCCCATCTGGCCATGCCTATGAAAGATCTCTGGGGGTGCCACTGGCTCTGGGCTACTATAGAGCAACATGGCTGACTCTGTAGAAGAGACCAGCTCGGTATATCTAAGGTAACAAAAACACAACAATTCTTATTTTCAGGTGATTATAAACTAATGAAAAGAATATTATATACCATTTCTGCCAATAGATGCCCCTTGAATCCTACACCCTGGACCTTTAATGCCCATAGAAATATATGACTAAAATTCACGGCTTTACTTGTTGTCCAAGTGGTTTAACACCATTTCAGAGCTTTACCGACCTCCAGAGACCCTTTGTCACTCAGCTACTCACCGACAAATACTTTAAACCTAGTTGGCAATACCTACCAAGATGGATACAATCTTACGATATGAAATACTGGGCGTGTGGTGATTATGATGCAGCACCAAAGCACTTTGGTTTTCACTCAGCTTACTGAGGAGTTGTGCGTGTTACGTGCTGGTTTAAAAAAAAACAAAAAACAATGGCGCCGTTCCAGCCAGCTGCCTTTAAAATAGGAATCAGTAGTACCTAAACAGTTTACAAGCATGCTTCTTGTATACCTGTGCCAAACCGGACTGTGCACAAAACAGAGTAAAATACATATTGTGCTGTGTCAGAATAAAGGTATGGCTTGGTGGTAAGAAAACATTTGTCACTAGGAAGGAAACTGCTTGCCATTCTTTGTCATTTACACCTCCAGGGTTTGCATGAATCCATCTGTAGATAGGTTAATATAACAGAACTGATTTGTAGGTAACAAATGCGGTGTGTCGTCTCAACGTGATCTAATGCAGTGGGTTAGTAGGGAAAATAAAACCATGGACGGGTGACAAATGGATTATTATATAGTCCTCAGCAGAGATGCATGTCGCTCTTCCGCTTACATTAACACCATCAGTGGGTGGGCCTGAGCTCTTAGAGAAATCTACAGTACCTAACACTGCTTCCAGCCACACCCATGCCACCACAGCCACGCGCAGGGGGGCAAGTACCTATAGTAGCATGAACACTAGAGATAGAAATACTCTCGATCATCATATAAAAAAATGGGTTTATATCATATATTATAGTAGTTCTACAGTATGTACGAACACAAAAGTGTGGTTGTTTTATGTAGTGTGGACGTTACTATATTTTCCACAAGTATATATTATTATTGCACTCTGGCTACACATATTTAGTAAGTTAGTTAGTTTGGTTGTCTTTAGATGTACAGAAACACTAAGTGGTGTCAGAGCTGATCCAGCTTGAAAACAGCTGAAGAAGGGGGGCTCAGAGATGACAGCTCATGTGTTTTTCAATTTGTTTTCCAATATCCAGCAGCTCACAGAGATATTTAGCTGCCTTGTTAAGTTGTTTTATAATGTATCTGGGCAAATAAATAAATTGTAGTACAGTAGTTTTTTCTGTGTTGCATAAAATGTACTATATTTTTACTTGCGATTCTTTTGGAATAATAGCCACATTAGAATTTGAATGTGTGGAGAGCCAGCACACAGCCAGTAGTCTCAACACATTTACACCAAAATCGCAGACTCTCCTCTCCGCAGGGACGTCAGCGTGGAAAATCTTAAAATGAATTTGGCGTGCATCACTGAGCCCGCTTCTGAAGACTGTTATTTAGACACCAAACACAGAGAAATCTGAGACGAAGCTACAGAAACACATCACACCCCTGTTCCCTTCTCTCTCTTTTTCAAAATAGAAAAATAAAATCCCCCTCCTCAACCTCAGCTAGCCTGTTGAGAGGAGGGTCGATGCTCCCTCGCTGCTCTCTCCGGTTTTGAAAAGAAACATACATTCACAAGAGGACAACAGAGGAAAAAAAAAAAAACAAGCAACTTGAAATTCAAATTTGTGTGCAAAAAACATTTTTAGATTTCTATAAAAATATGTGCATATGGATAGAGCTATTTTTAATCTCACCAAATACAGTATTTTCCTTTATTTACACTGCACAGATACACAAATAAACATACACTACAGCTCTGCCCTGCTTCCCCTCTCTGTCGTCGCAGGCGTAAAGAATAACATGGCCGACTTCCATGACAACAGATTTTGACAAGTACTCGCACGTAGGAAAACGCAGACACGCTCACTCACACGCACACTTCTGCTCGGATCAATGTGATCGAGGAGCAGAGGAGGGGCAAGCAGAACTTCTGTAGAAAACCTGAAGTTGCATATCCCACAATTCCCCCCACGCTCGCATTTCACAAACCTCTTCCTGTGAAAGGTCAGAGGTTGTCAGCCAGACGCTGCTTCCTGATTGGCTAGCGTGGGTGGGGACAGTGTGTCAAAAAAAACTTTGGCTACGGAGTTTGGTGGCTTAAGTTCTGGTGTGTTATCAGTATTAGTCCCAAACACACCATGTACAGTGGGTACTGTTGGTACAGCCTCAGTGGATCTGCTGTCCATCGAGCTGGGTTTAGGAAAATGGATCCACTGTCTGTTATTGTAGGACAGGACTGTACCAGCGTCTCTCTGGAAAGAATAATTCATGTCTTTTCAGTATCCGTCTAAACAAAAACAATCCCTCTCCCGGTAAACTTCTTTCTCCCCGGCACCAATCTCTGCTGAGGTCAGCCGAGGCCGCTCTGCACCAGCTTCAGAGATTAAGGACCTGTTAATTCACTTCCTGAAGGCAATGCCCGATGCTCACTGGGCGGTCCTCCGATTCTTTGCACTGAATCCTGCGCCGCTCCCCAGTCTGTTGTCGAAAGGGGAAGAGCAGGTGGCTGTATCGGCGTCTGATAGGCCAGCTGACAGTCCGCTCATGTATCTGGACTGTGGTTGGTCGAAGGTGAACTGGGGGAGGGGAATGTAGTCCCCTGCGAGAGTGGAGTGCCTCGCGGCGGGGGAGAGGGAGTGTGTCTGTGAGAAAGGCATCGGGACGAGAGGTGCGTGAGGCTGGATAAAGATGTTCGGGCTGATTGGGATGTTTGGGAGTGTAGGTGTGGACGCGTGAGGTGGAGTGTGTGTATGAGTGTTTGTCGGAGTTGACCCCCGCGAGGGTGTCAGAGTGTGTGTTGGTGAGTGTGCTTGAAGCGGTACGTGGATAGGTGTGAGCGTCCGCGTCTGTGAATCCGAGGCTTCTTGCGTGTTGGACTGTGTGTGCGGGGTCAAGTCGTAGGATGGCGTCCTGCGTCTCAGCATCATGCTGCAGTCAGCCAGTTTTGGGGGTGAGGCAATGTGGGGGTGTTCCTTCTCTGAGGGCGGGTGGATGGATATACAAGGAGGGCTCATCTTCTTCTTCCTGTGGCCGCCCCCGACTGACTGCACCCTCACAGGAAATCCCTGACCACTTTTTTCAGACCGGTGGGCCTCACGTGGAAAGTGTTGGTCGTCACTGGTGATGACAGCCTGTGGGAGGCAGACCTCGATTGAGTGGCGGCGATGGTCCTCAGGGTGACCGGCAGACAATGACGACGGCTTGTCCAGGACGGCCTTGTTGTCAACGCTTAAACCTTTCCTAAAGTCACGGTCCGTCAAGCCCACCCCAAGCAGACTGAGAGCGCTCCTCGAGGTGGAAGGTGGTAGTGGGGGAAGAGGAGGGGAGAAGGTGGAGGAAGAGTTGGGAGAGCACAGGGCGGTGTAGGGGGAGAGGGAGTGGCTGCGGCCGCTCTTCCCTCTGCTCTCCTGCTCTCCTCCCTCTTCATCTTCCCACCTGAGGCGGGCCGAGCTGGTGATGTGATACACCTCTTCGTCTGCCGGGTCGCACAGGGAAGCAGCAGAGGGTGGTCTGGGTCTCCGGAGGCTGGGAGGGCGTAAGGGGAGACGGGGGGAGGGAGGCGGTGGGAGAAGAAGCGAGGGGGAAGATGGCGGAGGAGGGAGAGGAGACGGAGAGGAAAGCAGGGGATGCAGAGGGGATGGAGGAGGGAGTGGGAAGGCAGAGGGGGAGCAGGGTGGGAGAGAGAGGGCTGAGGGAGAGGAGGGAGGAGGAGGAGGCAGGGGAGATGGGGAGGAGGCGTGAGGAGAGAGGGGAGAAGGGGAGAGGGGAGGCAGGTAGACAGGGTTGGGCCTCTCCTGGTGCTCACAACCCTGGGACTCCATAGAATCCACTTTAACAGCCACCTGCAACATAGAACACACTTTCATCAGTAAATCTGTTTGGACATTAACACTGTAATAGATGAATGTGTGTGTGTCTCTTACCTGTCTGCGCAGGGCCCGTGGGGAGGGGCTGGGCGTGGGCGGGGCAATGCGGGGCAGAGTGAGGGTGGGAGGTGACCGGGGGTGAACGGGGGAAACGTCTGGTACCTGCAGCAGCGTGCGACTATCACATGGCTGGGAGTGGATCGACGTCACTGAGCCTGAAGGTACACACGTAAAGAGTTTGAATGATACAGGTAATACAATCACATGATCCCAGTGTCAATGCACACACATGCATTCTTACAGAAAACACATGCATATTTTGGCATAAACAAACACGTAGATTCATACTGACTTTTTTTCTGTTAATTTAAGATAGGGAAGCACCAATTTATCAGCTGAAATTTGCCTTGTTGTCTGCCATCTGCTTATCAGTAAATACGATGGCATTTACCAATGGCAGCGGATGATATTTTTTCTTTTGAGTCACATCAAATTTGAGCAGGCTAAAAAGCAGGGCTTTAGACTAACAGTGTCCCGTCATCCCAGATCCTCCCAGGGATATGGAAGTTTTCACTGTACAAATGTTAAGACTTTTGCCACAGCAAATACACGTGAAGTCATATTTAGTTTGCAGGTCATTTGTGACTTCCTACTGTGTATTTGCATAATTTTGTCCAATTTCTACCATGGCAGGATCTATATAAAAAAAAAACAATATCTGTTTGAGGCACAGTTACTCGCCACACCAGCAGGTGGCGACATTCCCTCACATGAGATAATTGTACCAGGTAGGCTCAAACAAAGAGCCTATCTAGAGTTAACATCCTTAACATCAACAACAACTGAACACAGGGACAGAAGTCAGCTACTATTTTTTGAGAGCATGGGGGATTTGTGGCTCTAAGTATGAGCACATAATTCTTTTTATGTTAAGCATTTGAAATGAAAATAGATCATTTGTAAGGATAACATTATCACAATGCTAATTTTCAGTAACGTGTTAATGGTAATTCCCGTTATGTGTTAGCATCGAGCTAATGGACTAATTTGACACAGGGTTGCAGTGGTGGAAGAAGTACTCAGATCTTTTACTCGGGTAAAACTACAACAACAACAATTCTGTGTTAACATCTGCAGGAGGAGAGCTAGTTAACATTAGCTGTTAGCAGCTGGAGGCTGTAACAGCTAACAGGTTGCAGTGAGTTACACTTTGATGCATTCATGCTGTAGTAAGTAAAATGAGTACTGGGTGAAGGTAAACGTTATCATGATGTGTTCAAATATAATCTTGTAAAAATTTACTTTTTGACAAGAAATTTGAACAAATACAGCTGTTTGAAAAGGAAATTTGTTGATGTTTGCATAGCGATATACAACAGATATTAGAGAGGGAATTATGGTATATATAGTTAAACGGCCTCTGAAGCTGTTACTTTATTTTGAAAATATGTTTCTCATGTGAAAGATGTTTACATGAGGGGGTTGTTTCATAGATTTGTATGATTGAATTTGTGCTCATACAAAATGAGTGTAATGAGGAGCTGAATGACTTTAAAACAGCTTAGTTATATTTTATAATGAAATAGTTGGAATAAAAAACAAAAACTAAATAAACAACAAAAACTGGTATCAGCTATTGGCCCAACTGTAATTCTAAACACTGGTATCAGCCCAGAATTTCACAATTGGTGCATCCCTACTTTGGAACATTTTAAAATTAATACATTTGAGCGGTTATTACAAAAGTATAACACCACTAACACTTTATTTTGAGAGAATATTTAGATTTGAGCAACAAGAAATAATTTATTTACAACTGTCTCAAATCTGCAATCAAAATAAAGTGTTTTCTAAAAAAAATTCTTCAACACACAGGGTAGGTTGTTCATCCAAACAGAAAAGTTATCAGAGAAGTTGCAGCACTGAGCTGAACGTCGAGGAGAAACTCAATACAAGGCCGGTTTACTGAAAGTAATATTCTGCATTAGACCCTGGTTACATTATCACTTCTATGTGACTGTATTTAGATCATCATATAGCACTGTAATGCATCGTGGCAATCAAGTCCAAAGTTGACTCTAAATACAAAGTGTGATTGCAAAACAATGAAGTGGAAGCAACCCATTTTAAATTCAATTCTGTGTTGAATAAGTGCTGTGAGACTGTGTAACCAGGGTCTTAGGCATTCTGCACACACAGGTCCAGTCCACCTGTGAGTTCAGACGCAATCACAGTAAAACAAGGTTAAAAAACAGCAGTAAAGTCAGAGTTAGTTCATTTTCAGTTGGTACTTTCAGGCCAAGCTATAAAGCCACTTGATTCCAAATCTATCAAATGAGATGATTACATTTTTTAACGTATATAGTATTGTGATTTTGCAGCGTGGCCATTAAGTCAACCGTCATTCTCGTTGAGTATCAAGCCATTCCACGGCTGAGCAGATGAGCCTGTGTGAAGGTTGTGGGGATTCACATGTATCAGCTCATCCACTACAGTCAGTACCTTGGGACAGAGCTGGGTCTGTCCACAGCCTGGCCACAACATGCCATTAGAATCTGACTGCAGATAAAACAGTGCTTGTCAGTGCTTAGATTAGTATTCTCAGCATCGTTTATAATGCTCCTAATTTGTCTTTGTAAAAACCCAAGCCGGAACTGAGGGTAAGAAACCTCTAGTATCCCATCTTGATGGGGTCTAATCGCCTAAGACTTTTCACATTGATCACTTGTTCACTTATGTGTTAAAAAAAATATTATTTTCTTTCAGAACAAGTCTCTACTGACTGAAATACACTTGCTACTGGGGAACCAAGACTCCATACAAACCATATACTTGATACTTCAGTGCTTCTTTGAAGTTAAATCATGGTATTAACCAACTGTGGCTGTAGTTTAGTTAATTAGTTTGGTTTATCTTCAATTTTTTGTTTCATGCAAATAATTTTCATCCACCTGAAACGAGATTATTAGACACCACTATTTTACAAAACATCCTCTCGTAAAACATGTACAAAAAAACTAGACTGAGTGCATGCATACATCACAGAACAATCTTAGCGTCTGTGTCTGCTAAAACAATATCAGTGGCTGTCTAAGGTAAAGATGAGAAGCGTAAAAAAAGAAGCAGATTTCATATCTAATATATTTAAATCTTGAACAGATGAAGTAATTCCTCTTCTCAGATAAGTTACCTGAATGCTGGTGCTGGGGACTGAGCTCTACCTCCTCCAAAGGATAGGGGGCGCTGGCTGGCCGTACTGGTCTGAACATGTAGCTGTCGTTAGGCAGAGAGTGCATCCTGGATACAGACATCTTCCTTAACGACAGCAGGTCCTGGTCGCCGTAGTGCACCTCTTCTTCCTACAGGGGGAGACAGAGACCACAGAGTCTGGCACTGACGATACTGCCTACTGCTGCACATACTGTTTCATTATAAAGTCGTTAAATAGAGAGACATATTGAGAAACATGTATCACACATAGCCAGCGCTACATCCCTAATTACCTTTACAGTTTCAGGGTAAGTCAAGTTTCCTGACTGATTAGTGAGTAAGGTAATATCCTTCATACCTCTCCAGGTGAATTTGGACACGGCCCAACGTAGGTCCCTCCTGCTGAACTGTTGCTGGAGGTTGTGCTTGTTTTACGTTGCCTCTCCATTGCCATTTCCAAGGCGATCTCTGCGTCCATCTCTGCGTCCTCTTTAGCCTCCTGCAACAGGAGATATTGACAGTGACAATACATGAGTGTCATAAAACCAACGTGTGTCTATACCTTGGGCTGTCTACAAAAAATCACACATGTACACACTGACCTGATGTGTCTGTGTATGTCTGTATTTGTGCATTTTCTTAGCCTTTCGAGTTACTGTACCTTGTTGCTTTCCTCCAGATGTTTCATCAAAACAGCCACCACCACATTGACCAGAACAAACTGGGCCATGAGCACGAACGTGACAAAGTAAATCGGAGAGACCACGGGCAGGTAGGTTAGACAGTGGCGGTCTTCTGGATGACACTCCCTTAACGTGTCCTTAAAAGACACAGAGAAAGATGTAAGAAGAGAGAGGGAGATGTAAGAAGAGAGAGAGGGAGAGGAGAAGTGCACACACACATACACATAACCTGTCATTACAACTGGATATGCACAGCTGAACAACTGTGTCAAATACACCCGAGGCTACATCACAAAGCTTTAAAATCTAAACTGTCGGTTATATGATACGGAGCTTCATTTAGAGGGTTAGAAAATCTGACATTTGGAAGAACTGAGGGAGAAACAAGGACAATGGGGGCGATGTAGGGCAGCAGAGCATGTGCTGAAAATGCAGCTGCTGTTACTTTCTTTACTTTCGTATACTATTTACATCAGCAAGTGCTGCTGCTGCTGCTGCTGCTGTATGAGGGGAATCTGCAGCTTGCTAAAGTGATAGAAGTGATTGATAACAAACCAGTTTCATGATGATGTCAGGCTTCAAGGTTATGATCAAACAGCGTCCTGTGAGGAGCTACTGGCGGTCACGGGTGTGATTTAGATGTATGTGACGACACGAAGAGGTGACTGTTTGTTCTAAAACAACAATAGCAGCTCCTACAGAGGTTACATGCTGCAATAGCATCAGAACTGGGAGGTATTTCTTCACTGAAAGAAGAGCAATGAGCGGCACTGACTTCTCCTGACTGGCCCATGATAGACGCTGTTAGACAGATGGTTCACCCAGTTACCTGCCAATGTTTTTGGAACGTGCCTGCCCCTTTCCAAACAGTTTCCAATGACGTCTTCTGAGACAGTTCTGTGTAACAAACCATCTGGTGCATCTGGTTACTTCCTCTCCACCACTCCTATCGGATTAAACTTGTGTTTACCCTGTTTGATATCCCCTTGGATAACACTTAAGGATGACTCCTCTCTTGTCTTGCCTCAACATTCAGGATGTAACATTAGGGCACTGCTATTGTACATGTACTTTTTTCTTCTGGAATGAAACCAAAAAGCAGCCAAACATACGTGCACTCCTTGGAGTGGAAATATGAAAAAACGTCTATTCTCAAATGATAAAAATCCACAGATATTCAACATTAGGTCATGAATAATCAACATAAGTATGGTGGTAATTTATATTATTATAGTTTAACACTAAAAAACAAAGTTACTCTCATTATCAGCTGGCCTGTTTAAATATATCGTCTGAGTCTGTTATGGATGATTAATGATTGTATCTTTATGACATTTTTAATAAAGTAAAAATGAAGATGTGAGACGGGTTGACATTGCTCAGCTCTAAGCTACTTTATTATTTCATAATTGGTTTTGGAGGTCATTGCTCTCTCTGCGGTTATGGGATAATCTAGTCATCATTTGTGTGTGTGTGGTGTGTGTGTGTGTGTGTTCATACTTTCATAATCCCATTCCAGTTGTCTCCAGTGGACACTCGGAACAGTGTGAGGAAGGCCATCCCAAAGTTCTCAAAGGTTGCGTGGCGACTCAGACCCTCACACGGGTTGTTGTCATTGCACTCTGATCAACACACAGACACAGGCAGACGTTAGTTACACCACACTATAGACGTGATTGTTAAAAAAGAAAAGATAACAGGGGTAAAAGTGAGCATGAATGATTATATAAGTGTCAGTGTGCCATTCAGAAAGTCCTAATGCTTCAGTTCTGTTGTATGAACGCAGTGTGCACCGAACACACAAACAGCTGCTAAACGGCGTGTCCCTGTGGACGTGGCAGAGGAGAGGAGAACAAGGTCTCGTTCAGTCTCAGGGTCAATTTGACAGAAAACCCATAGGAGCCTGTTTACAAAAACAAAACAGCCACCAGAAGATAGCTGTCTTTGTTTCAAGCCCTGGGTCACATTAGCAGGGAGATGGAGAGACACGAGACGGTCCTCGGAGTATTGTCTACCTTATTTCTTATTCTCAGGATCAACCGCCAGGAGATAAGCGAGAGGTGTGCAGCTCTGAGGAAGTGGATATGGCAACTTTCCATAAAAATAAATGGAATAAAACTTGACTTATAAAGCTTTTTTTCCACACACGTGTAAACAGTGAGCTCATTAGAGGTTCAGTGTGTAAGATGTAGGGGAATATACTGGCTGAAATGGAATTTAAATCTTTCATGCATGAATTATAAATACCCCTGTCAAGATTTTTGTCTTAAGAAAACAGAATTTGAAGGGTTTTTTAACATGCTTTTTTTTTTGTACACTCGGGTGGACAGCATGTGTTACATGTGCAACTATAGAAATATAAAACAATGAAATAACTGATATATATTTTTTAATGCTTTGAAACTTGTGAGTTCACATATTTTAACATTTTCTAATACTATTTAATGTGATGCAAAAGCGTTGAATCTTGCTCCTGACTCCTCAGCCTCTCCACTCTGTCACACACAGGAGAAGTTTTCCTTGTAGGCTTTCACCCAAAAGCTGTTTCAGACTGAAATCCAATCATTTTTACCCAAACCACCAATTTTTTCCTTACCTTTACCAAGAGATCCCTCTTTGGTAGAAAACCCTCGGGGAAAATTTCTCCAAACTGCCCTCATTTATCTCTCCTGTCCTCTTTCTCTCCCTCCCTGACTCAACTCTGGCTCTTGGCTCTTCAGGCCCCCACACACACCTCTCCATTTAACTGAATGTTTTTTTCAATTAACATTCTCTTCAAAAACATTGTCAAAAATAAAATATTCAAGAACAACAATTTAAAATCATCCTGAGCTGCACATTTGTTGCATTCCGTTGGCCATATTGGTTTTGAGAAATTTGTGTTGCACTTACAACACCTGGCCAGTGGGTGGCAGTATGTGTCATGACACAGTGGGGTCAACTGTAGTGGTTTAAGTTCAGTGTATGGTGTATAATCACTTAAAAAAAGGAATAATTGTGTTTTCGTTACCTTAGAACGAGCCATTTATTTTAACATAGGGAGCCGGTCCTCGTCTACAAAGATCGCCATGTTGCACCACCATGTTTCTACAGTACCCCAGAATAGACAAAGCAAACACTGGCTAAAGATAGCACCATTCGCATTGTCGCATCAGCCACTGTAGTTAGCAGCCCCTCCTCGACCAGCAGTGTTGGAGATCTTTTAACGTGAAATTGATTAATTCAGTGTTTTTACCGGTTTAAATCACAGAGTCCATTTGTTCTGGACAGGAGACCTCTGTGGATAATTCTGCTCCTGGTATAAACCTCTTAAATGTCTGGATCGGAATAAAGATGAGCACAGATTAGCAGACTCTGGGCTAGCAGCCTGTCTGTGATGTGCCGAATAGCATCAGAGAAACACTGATTTGTGACGTGACACTGCTTTAGACAGTGTTTTTACTGGTTTTAATCACCTGTTACCGTTTGTTTTGGAGAGGAAGAGACCTCTGCGGATAATTCAGTTCCTGATAAAAAACCTCCTGAACAATGAACACTGAAGGAAATCTAAGTTTCAGCTGGGTGCCATCTGCAATCATCTCTGCTAGATGCCACTAAATTCCACTAAGCCTTGCACACTTTCAGAAACAAAACAATATTTAACCTATATATTCTAGTGTAGTGTGTAGAAATAACTTCTCCCCAAGTCTGAGTCATGGCGCAGTGGAAAAATGGACGGGGATTAATGTGGGCATTGTGTTTCAAGAGATCAATCATTTGATTTAGATTTGAATTCAAAATAAAAATCTATTCAATACCAGCTACGCTCAAAATACCTCCTGTTGGCTCAGCAGCTTGAATCCAAAGCCGTGAGCATTAACATTCAAGCCCCCATTCCATCCCCTTTCATATTTCCTTTTCATATGACCTTCTCTTATCTGATCAGCCTTCCGCAGACACCGAGGCCACAGAGACCAGACTGCCAACATGCAGTAGTGACAATGTCTTAGGTCTCCCAAAGGAATTCCAGATCTTGCGATGTCTTTGTTATTGCCTGAGGGCAGAAAGATTTCATGAGCCAATTAGGCTGCTTATTGCTGGCCAGTTATTTCACACCACTGTGCGGAGCGGAAGCGGGGTTAACTATTACGATATTAACATGTACACGCACATCAAATCCTAAAATGTCTTCAAGTGGAGGCTTTTATTACCATCATGCTCTGTATTCACTGTCATGCCCAACATACTGTAATTTTCAGTGGTGAGTAGGCAAAACATTGGTTCAGCTCATTATCATGGAGCTAAATGTCAAGTAATACTTTCCTGATCCTCACCGAGCTGCGCTGGAATATTCTTCACCAAACTTCTCTACAGACATGTACCAAAATATAATCACTCCTTCAGCTTTGTAAGCCTTGAAAGAGCTTCTAAAGTGAGGCGCACACTGGGAGAAGAAGGCGCATCCAAAAGCTTTTGTTAGAAGCTTGACAAAGGCAAAAAATGGAGCAGGGTTTTTACTTTACAAAACTGGAAAACAGACATGCTTTCATTTTCCCAGTGTGGCGGCAGCGTAATAACATTTCACAGGGAGTAACCTCTTCATCACCAAGTTGTTTTCATTTTGTCCTCCCAGATGCCTTTTTCAGCTAATCCTCTTCCCTCACACATTGTTGCGCTCCCAGAGAAAATGAGTTGGATGGAGCCGGCCTATTGAGGAAGTGGTACGTAAATAAATGTGATCATGCAAATGTGATCTTTCCTTGTTAGGAACAGGTCTCTGATGTGAGAGCGACGGAGAGGAAGGGAGACGGGGAGACAGATGGGGGAAGAGAGTGAGGATTCAACAGAGACAGCTCAGGCGGGGAAATGTGCTGGAAGTCGTGACTGTGGTAGTAATGACTGGATTCAAAAACCTTCTCTGCTGCAACTTCAGCTCCGCGGTACATGTGTGTATGTGTTTTTTTGTTGCCAGTAGTGTTACTGACCCAGTTTGCCAAAGAGCTCCACTCCCAGTGCAGCGTAGATGAAGAAGAGCAGCATGAACAGGAGGCCGAGATTTCCCACCTGGAAGACAGACACGTCAGATCTCCCTCTGCACATCAAACACCAGTGTAAATAGTTCTTGTTTAAAGCTACAGGGAGCTGAAAACATCAGGATTTATTTCATTGTCTTCATTTGACACTAATCTAACCATGCATTACAAATGGAAGTAGCATATTTCCGAAATTGTTTTACACTGAAGTGAACTTTTTGCCATTTGAGATATAATGTAAATACCAGGATGACACACATTAGCTTGCACGTTGACATCCTCATTGACACTGCTCCTATTCAAACTGGGATCCTGCATTTCTCACACTGTGGGTTGAGTGGCAATTATTTGCTCGCTGGCAGGTATATTCAAAGCTTTAACGTCTTTGTGCTTCATATTACCGAGACAGAGAAAACAGGTCATGAGCCCTTTTCCTTTTTATTTTGTTTTTAAACTGAAAACCTGCATTTGCATGCTACCCGAATTTAGTTTGATTTTCCACAAAGGATGACTACACTGATGAACTGTCTATAGAATATTCAGAGAGTAGCTATGATTCAGAGTCTGATTCTGGTTGTCTGGACATGGTTCCCAACATGGAGGTGGCTGAGCAAGTGAGCTCAATTAAGTTGCTAATAGTGCTATCAGCGTGAACAGTGCTGACAACAGCAACAGTGCTGACAAAGCTAAGGGTGTTAACATGGGGGGGAACCAGTGCTATGCTATGACAATGCCACCATCTCGATATCAGCAGTAACCACCGTATGAGCATCAGAGCATGTGAGCGGAGCTGGAGCGGAGCGGAAGGATTTTGTGTTGAGCGAGGAGCGGCTATTTTTTTAAAAAGGTGGAGCGGAGCCTTTCGCTCCGGTTGCTCATGCCCCACCCAGAATGCATCTTTGCACCTGCGCACACCCACACTATTGTCTTTCAAAACTATGGAGTTTACTGTGTACTTCAGAAAAGAAACTGAGAAGAGAAGCAGCGGTACCTTGGAGAGCGGTCCCTAACTGTGGGGAGAGGCGACAGGGCTTCCCCAGAGGTCGGCCGCTTAACCCGGTCCGTCTCCTCTACACTTTGACTTATTTCCACCCTGCCGACAGCAGTACCGTGTAGAACGGTCCCTAACTGCAGGGAGAGGGGAGAGGGCTTCCCCGGAGAATCTACCAAGCTCATGTTTTATTTGTGATTAGATGATTACAGGTTAGGGTAGTACGACGCAGTTTTTTTGAGCGGAGTGGTGAGCAAGTGGAGCGGGATAAAATTTATGATGGAGCGGAGCGAAGCGAAGAATGCGCAGAACCAAGCAGAGCGGACGAGCGGCTGAAAGTGACAGGTCTGCGAGCGAGGAGCGGAAATTTTCACCCGCTCCGCTCCGCTCACATGCTCTGATGAGCCATCAGTCAAATATCGGCTGTTTGTGAGCATCTATTGCCCTAATTTTTGCAGGATGTCCCACACCGTTGGAAATACTCAGCACTTGTCAGCTTTTTTTCACCCAATTCAGCATGTTGGAGTGGCATCAGAGACGTCAGAGCCGGTGAGAGACACCACCGATTAGTAGTTCATTGCACGAGAACAGAAATGCAAGTAGGGAAAACAAACAAACTGAGCATAGCGTTCAGGCAGGACACAATGTGAAGCTCAGCTCACATCTCAGCTACATCAGCTCATCTCAAACAGCCCAATCAACTGATGGAGCAGCTGATTGATGGAAGGAAGTCAGCTGATAGATCACATGATTCCGTTTTATGCAACCAATTGGCACATCTAATTCAGAGCGCCCTATTAAAACTGCTCTGGCCTGCCTACTGTTGCTGCTTCCTCTGCAAGCTGCTTTGCAACCCACCTCCACCCCAGCTCCTCTTTTTCATGCTGTGTCTGACTTATCAATGTCATTTCTGTTTGTCATTGATGCTGCTCTGTTCTGTTCCCGGGGGGTCTTTGCTGCTGCTCTCCCTGCCTTAGGCTTCTATGTAGGCTCATGGAAGGGCAGAGAGGTTTGCTCTTTCTGCCTCAGGCTTTCCTCGTTTGCACATGGAAGGGCAGAGAGGTGTGCTCTCTCCGCCTTAGACTTTCTACGTAGGCCCAAGGAAAGGCAGGGAGGCCCCAGAACAGAGCCATACCACCAAATATAATACTGCAAATGGAAATAAAGTTTTCTTTGACTAAAGTGTTCCTGACTGAACTAAAGTCAAGGCACCTTGGGATCAAAACGAATATATTAGAAGAGATTATTTTGTTCAACGTCAAGCTCTGTAGCAGAAATAATATATATATATAATAATAATAACAGAAAACAGCCATGCTTCATTGCCACTAATTCTTTCATGTTAGTTTGGTGTGTCTAACATGCACACGCAGCTGGACCGTCTACCACAACAGACAACAGAGAAGCTGAGATTACAACACACACAGGTAGCGTGACTTCTGTGTTTGCTCAGGATGCCATTACTCCACTATATCTTAATCAATCAATCAATCAATCAATTTTATTTATAAAGCCCAATATCACACATAGTAAATAGTTGTTTGCTGCTATATTAGTGTTCCGAAATGTTGCGTACAGGCCCTTTAACTGGATACAACATACTAAAACAGTAAGAAATCACAGAAAGCTTTGACATTTTCTATCAAAACAAAAATCAGAGCTCTACAAAAAACATCGTCATCGTCATCATCGCCAAGGGTCTCTGGGAAAACCCTGTGCATTTCTGATGACTCCATCTGCTACTACCTCCACAGCTCCCAGCATGCTGTCTTATATACGCTCTCTTAAAAATCTGTTCATGTACACTCTGTCCCCTGATGCTTATATCTGCACACTTGACATTTAGAAAGTAGAAGAACGCATGAGTCTGTCACTGCATGTGTATCACAATCCTTGGTGCAGTTGCTCTTTGCCTCTAAGAACTGTGCCAGGCATCTGGAGAGAGAGACCTGAGATACTCCCCGCAATATCCCGTGGACATCCTTTAAAAGGAGTGCGTCGACAAAAAAAGCACACAGAGTAATATCAGAGAGAAAGTCTGCTGTACAGTCAGACTCTAAGAGGTGTTTTAATAGCTTCAAAAGGTAAGACGCTGCTAAATACTTCATTTCCTTTGGGTTTTTGTGACTGCAACAAACATGCATTCTATGTAATGCGTTTGGCAATTATTATCATTGAGTGCACAGTTCAGCTGTGAGAGGAGGGGCAGAAAATGTACAGAATGAGACATTTATAAGGTCAGAAGAGAAATTTTGTTATATAGATGGATACGACCTAAGTTAAATATTCAGCAACAAGCATAAATCTTTCAGAGAGCTCTCTATTCCAAGCAAAACCTTCATAGTCACCCCACATTTGTAAAAAAAAACATCATAAATAAACCACAATATGAAACCATTCTTTTGTGTTTGAGACCCCACAGAGTCAGTGTTTACCTGCGGCAGCGCTTGCATGACAGTATCCAGCAGAGATCGCATCCCTGTGGCCATCTTCAGAAGTTTCAGCACTACACAGAGACACAGGAACAATCTTAAACAGCTAGCTGTTGCTGTCAGTCGGCCCATTTGCTGCAGAATTTACAATGTCACAGCACGATACTAGTGCAGCAGGGAGGCTCTCACATTTGTGCTGTATTTATTTAAAGAAGCCAAGAGGCATCTGTTACATATTACTTTTAAGGCTGAATTTACAAGAATATAAAATTTAAAAATGCAGTGTTATAAAATGTTTTACAACATCAATGATGTTTAAGATGAGAGTCTGTTGTGATGAGTCACAGACTGACAGAACCAATCACTATATGTTCTGTTATTGTACACAACATAAACAGATATAGATTGGAGTGTGTGTGTGTGTGTGTGTGTGTGTGTGTGTGTGTGTGAGATTATGTGTTCCTACCTCGTGCTATTCTGAGTACTCTCATGATTCTGATGATGGTGGGATTTATGGGCAGTGCTGCGCTCATTTTCAGCTCCTCCAAGGTGATGCCCATGATGGACAGCGCCACTATAGCTATATCCAGCTGATTCCACCTAAACACACACACATATAAACATGTTTCATTATTTTAGGCATGAAAAAAAAAGACAGAGTCATTGTCTGTTGTTACTCCTGTTTAGTGTTACAAAGTACAGACTTTCCTGTTGGATAATTTAGAGTTTCCCCTGTCATTTCTTAGTCTACATCCACACTAATACCTTTTGTTTTAAAATGCATTACTATTGCTATGTTTACACGTAGCATCCAGACTTCTCCAGTGTTTTTGGAGCCACAAAAAGCTCCTTGAAAACCTCCTGCTGACCCGTTTTAGTTTGGAAACTCCAGGGTTGCATTTTAGTCTGGATGAGTGGAAACAGAGACTTTTAAAAATGATGACACAGACACCCACATTCGCTTTCCAACTGGGCTCTAACAGACTCGACATGTCAAGCCAAAGCATTATAGCTCATATGAGGACGTCACATTTTGGGTTTACTTGACCTTATACTTCATTCTACTTAAAACCTGTTGTCCTCGTCAAGCCCTGACATAACAAGTTGTTTGGAAAAACATCATTTGAACTCTGTTTCAGCCTCATTGTAGTCTGTAGCTCAAACTGCCTCTCACTGTGCTCACATGTGTGCGCTTGAGCGAGACGGTGAGACATTATTCCAAACAACTTTTTATGTCAGAGCTTCAGGACACTTGGATCACTATAGACGAGCAGTATGGAGATATTTTGTGGTTAAAATTATGTGTTTTTGGACTTTTGAATCTGCCTGCATTAGGTGGAGATGTGTTGCTACCTTCTCTCCCCTTGGATCTCCACAAAGGATGTGAGGACTCTAAAACTTCGCCAGAGCCTCCCTCGGCATATGGGTGAGTAGATAATGGCTGAATTTTCATTTTTGGGTGCACTATCCCTTTAAACTGCCTTTTGAAGACTGTTATTGTGGATGTGGCCTTATGCTTGTGGGTAGTCATTAGTTGATGATGGTGAGTGCAAACCTGTATTTTCTTTTTATTCTGCACAATAATGTTAGAACAGGCGTACAAGAGGAGATGAAGGGGAAGAAGTAATGCTGCTGCCTGGCTGCTGATTGTGATTAGTGGGCAGGCTATTTAGATTAATGGGTAGCCCACCCACTAATCTCGAAGGCAGGGGAAACACTGATGTTTACGCCTGATAAGTCTCCACCAGGGCACCCTGAGACAGATGAACACACTCATCACCCAGTCCCTTAACTCAGTGTACTGAGAACAAAATGCCACCTAAGTATAAATTATGAGAGCTATACATGAACTCAAGGAGCAGGAGTTATTATTTCACACCACATGTGTTGTTATTAGGAAATAATGACACACATAAATGATAACTATTACACTTTACAGCATTGGGCATTGTGCATCATTTCATCTTATTGTGTTACCTGTCTTTGAAGAACCTGTGTATGCCGAATGCTGCGAGTTTGAGCAGGGCCTCAACGATGAAGATGCAGGTAAACACGTAGTTACAGTACTTAAGGACTTCCTCTAAATACTGAACACACAAAGATACGCAAACACACACAAGCAGGCAGATAATTATTTCATAATATCTCTCTCAGACTAGATGCAGATTCATTTTCTGCAGCAACATTCAATGATTCTTTATAATTTATTTTTAACATATTCTGAAAGCGATTAACAGTTTTTACTATAGATAGAAACAGTTTAAATAAATGTTTTAAAGTTTTAATGCAGCTCGAGGGCAAATAAAATCCAAGTCGAAGTTTATCTGTGGAACAAAGTAAACTCCAATTAGAGTATAGAAGAGCAACAGCTTCTCGGAAGCCAAAACATTTATCACTGCTCTCAAGAAGGACTCTGGTGTCTCTCCAAAAATACATCAACAACTTTTGTTTGAGAAAATAAACACGCTGGCATTTTCAGTAGAAAAAACCTGTGTTTAATCTGCCAACCTTAGTTTATGACTATGGAGTTGTTTCATCTGACAATGAATGTTAAATTGACGCTGGGTCAACACAGTCACGTTATTTTTGGAGTCAGAGTCCCTTGCCAACACACTTGCCGCTTTGGACCGAAAATCCAAAATACAGCAGATTTACAGCATGTTGTCACTTCGCTAAAGCTAGCCAGCACTTCAGTCATCATTAGAGGACAGCTAGACATATTATTTTACAATGTGCAAAGCAAAAATGCCCTCTTGCTGCGTTAAAAGAAATTTAAATGAAAGTCTCCCGAGGTGCCAGGTGTATTGGCAGCCAGAGACCAATTTACGACTGCTTTTTGGTACCTTTATCTCCAGGTAAACTTCAAAGTTTGTGTGTGTATGTGAAACATTACCTGCGGCTGATTGTAGTGCTCGATGCTCATGGTGAAGACGTTGATGCAGATGATGAAGGTGATAAAGAGGTCCAGGTAGTGGCTGGTGCACAGTGTGTGGATGGACAGACGCAGGGGAGAGTAGTCGGCATAGTAAGGCCTCTGCTTGGCCTCTGAAACACAAACAAATATATGCAGAGACGGCACAAGGAGAGACGAATATCACGACAGGGACAGACAGAAAGAAGGCATCGTGAGTAGCTGTGCTCTGAAGCTGGAATGATAATGTGTCCAGTGGTGTGAACAGGAAAGTGCAGGGGCTAAGGAAGTGGAACCACCATGGCTTTTTTGCTGAGGCTGCAAAAGTCCTCTTCTTATACTTTAATTCAACCAAGATATGCTTGTGCCTAAATGGCGTCCTTCTATTTTTTCCCTCTCGTCACTTCAGAGGAGCCCTTGAGCAGCCTGGGTGCCCAACTGGCATCACAAGTGCTACTCTAATGTGATGAGACCTAATTGTGACCCTGATCATTGTTGTGGTGGCCCCTTTGTTCATTATCGCCCCTGCTCCCACACAGTCTGTGCACACCACTGCCTGTATGGCATGTTCAAATAAAAGAGGACATGAGAGTCACAGCTGGGCTATATTATTAATTTCTTAATCTGCAAACAGGTTTTATCAAATGTAAACACTAACTGCAGTTCGCTAGCTCAAATGGCTATACAAAGTCACCTGGTTTTGTGTTCAGTAAGAACCCCCCCTGGACGATGGCATTTTAATTTCTGGTGTGGTTACACAACAAGGTACCAGGTGTAACTAAGAACATCTAGGATTTGAGGCAAGGCATCATCAACAGATCCCTGACCTACCCTGCACTGGACTAAAGGAAGTAGCATTTCAGAGTGCTCCTTTCATGGGAGCATTATTTTAAGATTCATTACCCCTCTAATAATCATATTCTTGTCAGAGCTGAGAGGTCTTGCTATGTGCTCTGGCCTAAATGGGAAGTCTCCATTAAAACCCAGACTACACTGTCTACATTTTTTCCTTAGAAAGGAGCTGTGAGATGCATTACAGCCTTTGAATAATAAACAGCCTTAGAGTGTAGCTCTAATCATCATCATTAAAGGAAATCTTCACCCCCGAAATCACCATTTGTATGTGAAATACTCATCCTGTGTTACATTGAATTTCTGAAGAAAACTTTGACTTTCTTGCATGCCTCTAGAATGAACAAAGAATCCTAAAATTGAGAAAGTTCTTGATGAACTGAAGTCATAGGGGTCCGAGTTCAACAACAGCAAAACTCTATCAAAACATCCGATTATTAACTCTCACAAAACTCGTGCAGTATAATCCAAGTCTCATTTATCCAGTCGTATGCTCCATGCTTCCCTAACAGACAGCTTTTTCCGACCGGAAACTAAACAGAAACTGAAACTTATCTATGCTCCATTGACAAAAACAGTAATTTTTACCTCGCTGAACACAAGAGCTACATCCATTCATTTTCAACAGCTTATCCAGTGCTGAGTTACGGGGGCAGCAGTTCAAGCAAAGCACCCCAGACGTCCCTCTTGCCAGCAACACTTTCCAGCTCCTCCTGGAGGACCCCAAGGCATTCCCAGGCCAGATGAGATATGTAATCCCTCCAGTGTGTTCTGGGTCTGCCCCGGGGCCTCCTACCAGTGGGACGTGCTCGGAACACCTCTAACAGGAGGAGCCCAGGAGGATCCTGATCAGATGCCCGAACCACCTCAATTGAACCCCTCTGACGTGAAGGAGCAGCAGCTCTACTCCGAGCTCCCTCCGGATGTCCAAGCTCCTTACCCTGTCTCTGTTCAGAGAGGTTAAATTACTGTATTTGTCAATGGAGTCTGATCTTAAAGAGAGAGCATGGATACATTTTACTGTCAGTTCAGTTCCCCATCGGAAAGGCCGTCTGTTTGGGAAGTACTGAGCATACAACTCGATGAGTGAGACTTGGATTATGCTGCATGAGTTGAGGGAGAGTTTGTAAAAAGGATGTTTAAATATCATTTAAATGTTGTTAGATCTGGACCCCTATGACTTCAATTCAAATAGAATTTTCTTATGCTGTATCTCAAATCTCGTACTTCTGTACTTACACTTAATATTTTGAGTGCATAAGTGCGCTCACACTAAGTATGGAAAAATGCAGTGCACTATGAGTACCCGGATGGTGCACTCAAAACGGTCAAGAAGTTGAGTGTGGAACTATGAACACTTCTCGCCCTCAGTGGTCGCTATCTTGGCTACGTAGCGGAAGGGGAGGGACCACTTTTCAAACTGGAAATGGCGGCCACTATACTATTGTCGGGTATAAGCCAGCAGTGTGTTTACTGGGTTAATTTAGCAGTCTGTAATGATTTGGTACCGCGAACGATAATGCAAATGCTAATGCTAGTTTGCTAACCAGCTAATTTGCGTTCGTCACTTCCGGTGAGTGCACAACGGCCGTGTTTGGTTTGAGACAACATTACCCTGTCGAAATTTGCACACTATGCCAATGAGTACATAATAAGCACAGTATACTGCATAGAAGTGTACTAACGGAAGTATGTGATTTGAGACACACCATTAGTTTTTGGATTCTTCAAGTTGTCTTCATGATTTCAGTGTAACAGAGGTGAGTAAATGATATACAAATGGTCACTCTGGGGGCGAAGTGTTCATTTTAAAGCATCTAAAATCATGTAAACATATCTAACTATGTAACCATTTTGATAGACTGTGTACTCACATGTCCATTTATGACATTTGATGATTGTAATTCTGATACGTGCATGTTTATGTCCCCCTCCCAAGTACACCATGCCCTTTCTGTCTACTGCATGCTTACATGCCTGATGTTAAGCGTAATGTCTATGGTTGAGAGGGGCTGCGCAGGGTACGTTCAACAACACAATTTTTCACAAACAGGCTGATTAATGATGTACATGTTTCTGGGTATTCACTCTTTAAATAACATTGCTTTTCTTTCCATATTGCTTCACTGTTCAAGTACCCAATTTCAAAAGTTGTAGCTCGTGACTGCGATGTTGAACATGCACTGGAGCCACTCTTCAATGACATCACTACAATCATTTTTAACCCCTCAGAGAGTCTCAAGAGTCTAAAACTTTTTTTGTTTTCATCTTCTCTTCTTCATCTTTTGATGGAATAAAAAGCAGATTGCGAAGCCAAACCATGAAGTGAAGAGCTTTTTATCTGAAACAGCTGATTAGATGACATTTGTCTAGACCTTCAGCAGTTTTAGACCAGTGAGAGATGTTACCAATGCAGGATGAAGAGAGTGCAACTCTGCTCACACCATATACTGCCTTCTAGTGTTAGTTCTGTGACTGATGTATTGGATAGTTGGGTATAATTTTGTGTTGCAGCCAAACAGTGGTGCTCTTTGATATTCCAGCCAATAAGAACCATGTGCTTCTACCAATTTCTTTGTGGCTTTTCTTCAGCTCAACATATTACCACAAGAAAAGAACAAGTCCTGACAAGATGCTGCCTTGTAAAGCAAGCATGTCGACTTGTTTTTGCAATACGTGGTGTGTTTCTGATGCTTCGGCCAGCATTTGCTTGTGTTTTCTTCAAGCTGTAACGAGAAATCCTCCATATCTAACAAACTTAACATCTTCTAACAGCTCTGTTACCCAAGGTTCTTGCAGGTATAGCAGCCAAAACGCCTGCTATGTTTCTGAGTCTGCCAGTCAAAGCACGTTTACAGGAAATGTCCTTCTTCTACGCATGTCGAGAGACGCCGCAGGGTTGGGGTTGTACATGCACCCGGAGGAAGGGAAAGGGGCATTTTACTTGTCAAAATTATGCTAGCAAAACTTCCTGAGACACATGGAGGAAAGCAACGACCTTGATCAGCTTAACATGCAGGAGGTGCTGCAAGGATTGTCTTCAAAAGTCTGTAAAAAATGGCAACTTATTACAGCTATTATGCGTTCTCATTATTTATTAGTAATGGGATTAAAACAGGATCTGGCGTTAGAGGATTTAAGCATTTAAAAAAATGAAACGTTGAGTCTTGCATTGTTGCTGCAGTGGTGGCAGTTTGACTGTTTTAAGAGTGAGCATACAAATTTTAGATGCATTAATACAAATGTACAGTTGAGAGGTTGGTTAGGTTGGCCCGGTTTCCAAAGTTTTTCATGCAGTGTTAGGGGAGTGTTAGGGGAGGGCTGCAGTCATGCATCTCCATGCATCAGACTGGCGTAGCCTACGCCTTCTGTCAGTGATAAATCACTGTTTACGTGAGCTAGCCAGTCTTTCAAACTCTCCCTCTTTTTTTCATGTTTCAGTCTGAATAATTTCTCTGTTTTCTCTCTCTGTCATTCCCTTTTCTTTTTTTTCTTTTTTTTTTGTTCAGGCTCTGAAAGCAGGCAGTGCTCAGAAAAATAGACTACCGACCAGCCCCTTCATTCTCCTTACTCCTGCGCTTTTTCTCTATCATTTTGAGCCTCTTCTCCTCCCGTAAGCGAGCCTCCTCTTCTTCCTGGTCCTGCCGGCACTTGTGGAAGTTCTCCACCACGACGCCGACGAACATGTTGAGGACGAAGAAGCTAACGATGAGCAGGAAGGAGATGAAGTAGAGCAGCATCCATGGGTTGTGGTTCCTTACAGGCTGAGAAGAGAAGAGCAAAGAGGATTACGCGTTTCAATAGTTTATGTTCATGTGTGTGTGACTTAGTGGAGACACAAAAAGCACAGATGACAGCTATGCTTTGCTCTTTGTGCTTCTGACCTGGTTCGAACAGGCGAGTGACAGAAATCCCAAATGCCCCAGTACCAGTGCAAAGCTTCACAGTATGTTACCATGTGCAGCAAATACAACAATGTGGATTCTCTAAAATCCTTGGATAACGTGGGCTAAACCAGAATATAACTGACTATTTAGAGACTCACTATTTCAGCACATTACACCACAGGCAGTCTTGGATCTGTGGACAGCCTCGTCAATTCAAGCTTTGAAGCGCCTGCTTTAAACTCACCTTTTGAGCTTTGCCTTTGCTATTACTACACCGCAGCGCTGACATTTAACTTTGCTTAATTTGTTAAAGAAATTCCCCCTGTCTCCTTTTCACTTTGTATTCCAAATCATATGTTTTTAGGGCAGGTATTTGCACATCAAAGCTCCCAGTGGAGATGACAGGGCTACTAGGGCTGCATGATATGGAGAAAAATATGCGACAACATTGTTGAGTCTTGCAAGAATGATATTACTTGCAATAATAAACAGATATTAAAGTGAACTCTGCTGCTTTCAGTGCACTGCTAAAATACAACAAATTGCAAATTGTGCTGCTGTTCTCTAGCATGCGTTTCAGTTAATATATATCAAGCCTATTTACAGTACAGTTGTGCTACAGATGATGCTGAATTAGATCTGATATTTAATTCTGTATTTTAAGTTTTATAAGCACTACTGCACACTGTGTGCGCTAAGCCGGGAGCAGGCTTACAATAAAATAAGCAGCATGAAACACAGTTTTTTGAAAATGACTTTCTATATTATCTTGTTAAGTGATGCATACAGTAATGTGCTGTATAATGACCGAGAAGAGAGGAGTGTGGCTTTATGTGGCTGAGACCCAGCCATCACCTCGTTTAATATGAGTTCAGCAGAATGGCTGGGAGCACTCCTCACACCATTACCTGTTGGTCCACTCCTACTGCATCCAGCCCGTCATACATGATGTTGACCCAGCCGTCCTTACAGGACAGCACAAACAAAGACATCAGAGCCTGGACAGGAAACACAGAGAAATACGTCAAAACACAGGGTTTTACTTCATCCTAATAGTATTGCTCCTTGAGACTTGTTACAGTATGAACACTGCAACTTGTGCAATTTACCATGTCATGTTTACTCCTGAGTATAATTACTGGCTGTCAGAGGAAGGTGCATATTCAGTTCATATTCATTTTCAATAAAACAAAATCTAAAATATTTTAAATGTAATGTAATGTAGATCTAATAAATAAGAAACGATCCCATTCTATTACATAAATAATAGATAACAATTTTAAAAGTGATTCAAACTGCCGTCTGCAGTTCTTAATGTTTAATTTAAGTGTCTAATACTGGAATATGAGACAACCCAACTCTGTCAAATGTAATAAAATATATATCACTATGTAAGTGGGACAGTGGTTACTTAGTGAGGCAACTTGTGTTAAAGGTACACTACGCAGGATATTCCAAAAAAAAAAAAAAAAAGATGATGTATAGACTTATATAGAAGTCATTCCTCTCAGTCATCACTTATGACCTACTAGAAGTGTGTGTAGGTGTGTTTATCTGCGGAGACTCTGCCTGTATTTTCTTATTATTTTGGTGTGTTTGTGTTTGGGTATGTAGCCCCCAGCCATTTACAGCGTGCAAGTGAGGTCAGGACTAGCGAAACTAGCAAAAGGACTGATAGAAGAATGCACCCAAGAGAAAGCTATGGAGGCAAAGCACCAAGTGAACAAGCTTATTTCCAGTGAATCTGGGGCTGGCTTTCACGGGGAGCTGGCCTGTTTTCTGTTGGACAGGTAGGTGTTGGCTGTTAGCTTAGTTAGCTTGCTAAAGTATTGGCTTTTCCATTACGACAAATGTAACGTTCTTACAACAGCACAGTAGCTTGCAGTGTACATACAAGCAGTGAAGGGAGGAGGGGTCAAGTTTTAATGTTGTGTTGTGCTTTAACTCTTTGAAACCTGAGAAAACTGACTTGATATCTTTGAAAAACACGGGAAGATGGCAATGAGCGATGGAAGAAGAACAGACTCCAAAAATTTTGAAGAAATTAGTAAAAGGTGAAAATTAAATACAAGACCATTTAATTAAAAAATGGGTCAAATTGGGTATTGCAAATTATGGAATTTTACTGGCATTGGTATCCACAGCTAAATTCCTAGTATCATGACACACCCATTTTATACTGTACCATTCCTGTCCTTATAGCTCTCTGTGAAGAACCTAAGCCACCAGTGTATTAACCCCAGCACTGTTGCACTACAGGCTGCGATAAAAAGTGGCATTTTATAAGTAGCTTTAAGCTAGTTCATGTTTTTGTAGATATTGTTGGCCTTAAAACTAATCCCCTCCCTTCCTTCCCCCTCTTTCCCTTTTCACCCCCAGTCTAATCCATACCTGAATCAGGTTGTCAAAGTTGTACTTTCTTCGTATCCAGCGGTAATTGGCCTGCAGACAGTCAGACTTGTTGGTGATGTTTTTCGTGTCCAGACCTTCACAGTGGTAGAACTTCCCTTTGAACAGCTAGAGAGTGAGAAAGGCAGAGACAGAGAGAAAGAGGTCTGCAGGGCTATTTGGCTGTCATTTACACATTATCTCAATTACCGGAGCTTACGGCTTTTTAAACACCCAACTATTAATGCCAGCAATAAAAGGATGTTTCATAGAGCGCATTCTTATCAAAGGTTTTCCCTAAGTGCTCGGCTAAAAGCTGGCCTAGGGGTCATGTTGTCCTTTTTCCATACTTAACCTAATTGTCATTCTTTAAAAATTCTCACACTTAAGGAACAATTGCCCATTGGATATTCAAGACACTTCCAATCCCCCCTCAAGCCACAATCACATATGCAGCTGCTCAACCAGACTGACATTTAAGCTTCAAAGAGTAAAAGGTTTGGTCCTCGCACTTAGAAAAAGCAAATGACAGAGTTGTATCATCAGTGCAGCATGTGCATTGGACCTTTACCTAGCTTACAAGTCTGCTTGTTTAAGGCAAGCACCAGTTTGTGTGTGTTACTGTGTGGGAATGCAAACTACCTGCACCCCCAAGATGCCAAACACAATAAAGAAGGCGCAGCAGATAAGGACAATGTTCCCGATGGGTCTGAGAGAGGTGATGAGCGTCTCCACAACCAGCTTCAATCCTGGGGCTCGGCTGATCACCCTGCAAACACAAGTAGTAGTGGTAGAAATATGAAATAAAGTACATACAGGCATAGTAATATGCATCCATACCTTCATACACACACAAATACACTGTGTACCTCAGTGGGCGTAGTGTTCGTAGCAGGCGCAGGACTCTGAGGATGCCCAGGATCCTGTTCCCGCCAGTATAGGCGAGAGAGACCAGGATGTCGACCAGAGACACAAACACCAACAAACCATCTAGAACATTCCAGCTGGACTGGAGGTATGTCTGCTTCCCGAAGCAGAAACCAAGAGCGATAACCTGGACAAACCAATATGGAATTATCAGAACATTTCTTCAGCTGTAAATTAGAGCTATAATTTGATGCAAAATCAAAGTCAACCCATTCAACCACATAGGTTGTTTGTTCCCACACTTTCATACAACTCACAGGAGTGTTTCTTAAATTAGCGCCCCTACCGGTGGCAGGACACTGACACAGAAACCACATATATGACCATTAAAGACACATTTTTAAACATGTGATTACCATTGTGACAGGGCCGCAGTTAGGTTTAAGCATAGACTATTTATTAAAATGGAAAATACGTCTTCATTTGCTCCCACTGTACAAAAATGAAGCTAAAATATCCTGTCTACAGGCGCTGCCATCTTGCAATTTTGGAGCCAGAGTATGCAAAGTAGCTATTGGAAAGTGGAACCGTGGTATTGAGTTGCCACCCATACAACTGTCCAACCCAATTGCAGGGAGCGCCATTAATCACAAACACAGACAGCTGTCAATCATGATGTCACACGCCTTTTATAGCATCAAATAACTAACTAAAACTAAATTTATCACATAAATGAGCATGATAAGAACTACCTAAAATGACAGAAACCCGCTTTGGTTAAAAAGAAGGTATTTGACGTGTACATTGATTTTTTTAGTTTGGCCAATGTCCCATCTGCTAAAACGGAGAGGGCGGGGTTTATGACCCTTTATGTAGCCAGCCACCAGGGGGCAATGTCCATTTTTTATACACAGTCATTGGGTTTAAGCAAATAAACTACTTGGCTAGGTTTAGGAAAAGATCATGGTTTGGGGTAACATAAGGATGTTTGTTACGTACATGACGTAAAAATGTTATGTACGTTAGGTCAATAACTCAAACATTGACTTTTGGTTTTACACGGGACACAAACAGTGGTCTACTGGGTCAAAGTCCTGTGTTTGTTTGACCCATCCATCCACCTGGGCTTCCCCTCCTGCTTTAAAGTACGTCACCTGGCTTCCTCTTTTACTTCGGTCATACTTAATATGGCCACTAAAGGACACCAACTAACAATTCACTGAAATATGGGTCATGATACACTGCTTCTAGAAGTGACATATGGGATAATTTTTGGAGGGACGACAGTTTCCCACACTGATGATATGAAAACAGTATTGTTTACCTTAATGGCCATCTCTGCCAGGAAGATCACAGTGAAAACGTAGTTGGACACACTCAGAAACTTTCGCTCCTAAAGGAGAGAGTGACATTAATATAAAGGCATAGAGAGACAATGCTCAGGACTTGACGGCACATGTTCTCTGAATGGACCAAGTACCAGTTTTACACATTAAAATATACATAAGTTTCTACCTGTGCGTCTAAAGTTTGTCTACTGTAGTATATCATCTCCAAAGCCTCCATTTTAGCACTGTGTAACCAGTGAAAATCAGTGAATAGTTTAAATAGATATTTCTACAGTAGGGACAGGACACTGTGTGTGTGTGTGTGTGTGTGTGTGTGTGTGTGTGTGTGTGTGTACACATGTGTGTCTTACCGTGCTGTGAGGCTGTATATCAGGTCTTTCCAGGGCAATGGTGATGCAGTTGAGGAAGATGAAAACCAGAACCACATGGTCGAACAATTTGTGAGAGATCACACTTTGGCACCACCCACGAATTCTAAACACACATACACACACACACACACAAATGTGCACAGAGTCATCTCCAAAATGTCTATGGCTGGTTAAAGATATTGACCAAACAATTAGCAGTGAGAAAGCAGTAAAAGAGAGGAACGAGAGAGAGGAACCAAGATAATTGAATAAAGCAATGAGAAGCAAAGAGGAGAAACGTAGAATGAAACTAGAATCATGCAGATTGATGGCGAAATTTTGAGTGTGTGTGTGTGCTAGACTCACTTGCTCTCTGGAGAGAACAAATACAGATTCCAGTCTTCGTGCTCTTTGCACCAGCGGGGCTTCATGTCACGAATCTCTTTTTTCAACCAGAAGCAGAAAGAACTCTGCAGAGGTGAGAGGTCAAAGGTCAACATTATCGCCAACAGCAACAATTAACACTGTCTTTGCAATTCATTCCTACATGACATGACTAAAAATATTATGTTTATACACGATCAACACTGTAGCCACAATCATCATCATATTCACGCTTTCATTGAACCAGTCAAGGCAAAAAAATTAATTCCCATACATAGGCTATCTGTTATACAGAACAGTGAGATTGTCCGTGGGATTAGTAGCAGCATTGCTAAGAGGGGAATGCAACTTTAATCCTCTCCGAAAGATGGATGGCTGCCCTTGCTAAACTAGAGGTTGTTACCTTATTTTACGATTTAAATTTTCATGCACAAGGTGCAAGGAACCAATGCCAGCGAGACCTTAAGTTTCACTTTCGATTTTCGAGGAAAACAAATCACAGTAAAAAGCCAGCTCAATATATTATAAGTCACGTTAAGTTTAAGCATGCCAACATAGGCCTACTGGTTTGCCGGAGTTTTAAGAGTGGAGCAAAGTTAAAAAAAAAAAACAACCTAAAATGTTGAGCAGGACATGTTGGGAGGAAGACAGGAGGAGTGGTGCGAGTGACACGTCAGAATTTATAAAAAGTTGAGGCATCTCTGATTCTCATTAATTTAATTATGATGACCTGAGGAACAGAACTCTGATCAAAATGATCAAATAAGCATGTGCAGATCACGTGCAGAGTGGCGGTGATGAGCTAGCCAGTGGGTTACAAATCTGCACTAACAAGGCCAGTGGCCAGATCGGCCACAACAAACTACAGAGAAGCTCTGATTACAACACACACAGAGGAAGCGTGACTTTATTCTCAGGTTGCCATTACTCCACTATATCTTTACATAGCAAATAGCTGTTTGCTGCTATATTAATGCTCTGAATGAACTTTTAAAAACCTTTTAAGAATTTCTTGGATTTTTCATACACAGTATGAAACCCTCAACTGTGTAAGTCTGCCTCCCTGCCTTTAACCGCCCGTGCCACTGCCAGCACTCGAACCTCCACTGCCAGATGGGCAGTCAAACAACGTTCATCTGCGCACACTGTGATGACACAGAGCTGGTTGAATATCAGCAAAGTTTCCCTGCTTCCCTTCACTGGTTCCTGTACAGCAGGGTCGGTCTTTGTTTCACTGTTATAATCATTAAAAAGCAAAAGCAGCATGTGTATACATTCAGTAGGCTATATCTTCAGTAGCTAGCTAGCTAAACCTACACTTTTCAGGGTATGATTTTGGTTTTGGAACAGGGAAGAAACGTATATCTTTTTCCAACCTCTCCAGGTAACGAGTATCATTAATACACGACGTGCCCCAGACACAACATTTAGCTCCAAATCCACAAAACCAGAAACAGTTGCATTAGAGTCAATGGAGCACAGCTGTGTTGTTGTTGGACCCTGGTCTGAGCTGGCCCGAAGCTAAGTTCTGACTGGCCAGTCTGCGGCTCTAAAATCAATTTAAGATTAGTTAAAGAACAGAGAATGTGTTTAACAGCATCAGTAGCTGCTCTATGAACTATTCACCTGTCCATCTTCAATTACACCATAAAAGAAGCATTAAAAACCTATGCATAAATTAATTTCCACAGTGCTGCTGATGTTCACCCTTCCACATTTACATCTACGGGGGCATGAAAAACAAGTGTTTTCTTGCTTAAGTAAAAATGGAGATAACCGGACTATAACCCCCAACTTAGCTGGTGCATGAGCTCGATAGAAAGGGTTGTGAAACTCATTAAAGTTTCTAATAAAACAAATAGAGGAAAGCTTAGGTGCACAGCTTCTGTACTTTAGGATTCTAATTAAAAACAGCCCAAAGTCAAGCCTCTCAGCTTATTTGGCAGCCTGCCGCTTGTGTGAGAGTGTGTGTGCATCTGGGTGTGTCCTTCTGTAAGTGTGTTTGGATGAAAAGAACCTGCTGCTCAGATATCCTTGGAGCAGAAATCCATAATCCCTGACATAGACATATGCAGAGCGCCGAGCGCATATACACGTGTCTCTGCTGACACGTCACATGCACACACTGACACGTATTCTTGCACAGTAATGCTCGACCACACACTCATACACACATACTCTGGTGGAGGAGCTGTATTAAGCCTCCTGTTTTAAGTGTGCCCAGGGAGGGGCCTTTTGTTTCAGTGGATTTCATGGTTTTATAAACTCAATTTGGAGCCAATAAAACCATCAAAACTGTCTCAACAGAGGTCATCCAAAACAACCGAGGAGTACACCCTGCTCTACTTCGCGTACACACACGCAAGTGGTTTTGCACCCACTGAGAAAACAATTGCTGCCCAAGCCAATCAATTACAGCATGACAATTAGTGTCCCTCCATGCCTTGAAGTGTGATCACAAAACACAAAATTACAATATCTCAAAGTAGAGGGAGACAAAGGGCAAAGAAGACAAAGAAGAACTGAGTGAGTAGAGAAAGATAGAGAGGAAAAAACAGAAACGAAAAATGTGTAAACCGAGTCGGAGAGGGCAGATTAAGAGATTAAGAATTTACATACAAAAGCAAAACCACAGAGGCACGACTGCTCAGCAAACTTGTCACCAGGCCAATAAAACCTAATTTCTTGCTCAGGCCTGTGGATATAATTGTAAAACAAGCCATTGTGGAAATAAAGAGCTGATGACACATGCCAGGACAATACCACGCCAGGGACCTTTAACAGTGCCTCAAAGACCCCACTGTAGATGTCCTAAATCTTACTTTGCAAGCTACGATGACTCATGATAACTTACATCATCATCCAAGTCATCTTCAGGCGAGGAGTCATCTTTGGGGTCGCAGTTCACGGTGGCATCATAGGTCAGGGTCCTCCCATTACAGTCACCGTACTCCGCGATTATCGAAGGGCAGAGTGTAGACGCCTGTAGCAGCTCCAAGGAGTCTGGACGTAGTCTGTTGTTTCCTCCCGCCTCCCCCTTGTCCATTCCAGCATCTTCCTCCTCTCCCCCTTCCCCCGACAACAGGCTCTCCCTCTCGCCGCTGGTGTCTCTCCTTTTGAGGCTAGGCGCTCGTCCCAGGCTGTTCCAGCTGGAACGGCGGCTTCCCCACGAGCGGGTAGGAAGAGGGGAGCGACGGCCGGGACTTGAGAGGTTCTGGAGGGACAGGGAATAAGGATAGTGTGTGGCTATGAAAGTGTGTGTCCCTTTGTGAGAGTTACACCAGTTTAAAAAGTGCCTGAAACCCTAATCCCTTACTCTCAAGGGGGGAAGAAAGTCCTTATCAAAGATTGTTGATAACTGGATAACTGACATGTATTAAAGTAAGTAATGTAAAGATATTTCGAGTGCAGTTTCACTTTAAGTTTGATAACAAGTTTCAAGATTCCCTGGCAATTCTGCTGTCAACTTTTTGTGTCAGTCTCTTAGGATCAGAGACAAAAAGCTTCTCTTTTAAGATGTCCCCCACAGGGGCTCCACATGTCCAGTGAGAACTTGAAAACTAGGTGTAAGCAAGAATTTCTTAGATTGATTACCTCATTGCCCACAATTTGTTTCTAACGTTCGGCAGCTAGATCCAGTAGTTAACTTGCTACTAGATCAAATGCTCAACTTAACTGAATAATAGGAGTAACATCAAGTTATTATTAGCTCCCTATATTTCCAGATTTGGTTTCAGGCATCCATGATTTCCTTGTGGGATATGTAACTGTCTACCTCTGTTACAGTGCCGTGTTATAGATAGTTATGTAGACCTGAGCTGAGATTAATGCAGTTTGGTGAACCTGCATCCTTTGTAGCCATTGGTGGAGGCTTATCTGGTACCTGCCCAGTCCCCCTGCAGCTTTCAGCGATACCAAGGCTTATAAACTATGTCAGAAAATCTAATTTCAAAAAGCAAAAAATAAAAAGTACACTCCTCCTGTAAAAATAGCGCTACTTGAGATTTGCTCCCTCTCCGTCCTCTGAGCAGAATTTAGGGATTTAAAATGCTTCAGACTGATTTCTGAGCAACCCACAGATTGAAAAATTTAAAGCCTCTGATTAGCTCCGGTGCTGCCTCATGGTACTTGAGTTCTTCAGGCCCTTTGTGATCCTCCATTTGGGACCACTGGATCTGGATTAAAGGAGTTTGTCTCATATGTCTGTCTGCAGCTTGTCTTGGATTCTGATAGTTATGTGGGTCGTATCCATGATTTGTATTTGCATCGTTCTTGTAGCCATTTCTGTTAAACCTTCTTATTTTCAGTCATACTAATCTCCTTTAGGAAACAGAATCTCAGTTTGGGAAGTTACACTTATCATGCTGTATATACATTTGCTGGCCACTTTATTAGGTACATCTGTTCAACTGCATATTAACACAAATGGCTAATCAGCAAATGACACCAACTCAGTGCTTTTAGGCATGTAGACATGGTCAAGACGACCTGCTGAAGTTCAAAATGAGCATCAGAATGGGGAAGAAAGGTGATTAAGTGACTTTGAACGTGGCATGGTTGTTGGTGCCAGATGAGCTGGTCTGAGTATTTACTGGGATTTTCAGCACAACCATCTCTAGGGTTTACAGAGGATGGTCCCAAAAAGAGAAAACATCCAGTGAGCCAAAATGCCTTGTTGATGCCAGAGGTCAGAGGAGAATGGCCAGACTGGTTCAAGATGACAGAAAGGCAACAGGAACTCAAATAACCACTGGTTACAACCAAGGTCTGCAGAAGACCATCTCTGAAGCAACAACACCTTGTCCAACCTTGAAGCAGATGGGCTACAGCAGCAGAAGACCACACCAGGTGCCACTCCTGTCAGCTAACAACAGGAAACTGAGGCTACAGTTCACACAGGCTCACCAAAACTGGACAATAGAAGATTGGAAAAACGTTGCCTGGTCTGATGAGTCTGGATTTCTGTTACCACATTCAGATGGTAGGATCAGAATTTGGTGTGAACAACATGAAAGCATGGATCCATCCTGCCTTGTATCAACGGTTCAGGCTGCTGGTGAGGGATGTTTCCAGCACCTTGTTGAAGCTATTTCACGAAGAATTAAGTCAGTTCTGAAGGCAAAAGGGGGTCCAAACTGGTACAAGCAAAGTGTACCTAATAAAGTGGCCATCCCCTCAAAATATATACTGTTTATGACACCTTGACTCATCAATAACTACATACTGATTTGTGAATGAACTGTTTGATAGGACTCACCAGAGAATGCTGGTCAAAGGCTAAGGGGTCCATGGTGGTTGAGGTGGAGCTTCCACGGCGAGACTCTGCACGACAACTTCCTGCCTGGCTAACCCCAAGTCCTCCCTCGCCATACTGGGGCACCCCCTCTCTGTACATGAGCTCCTCTCCGAGGACAGAGTCCGGTCCCAGAGAGCTCTTAGGAGTGGGCATGGGTGTGGCTGCCGTGCGCATGATTATCGGAGGAGCCGTTGAGCCTCGAGGGTCAACGTGACCGTTGGCTGTCATCATCAGTGAGTACATTTTTAGCTCTGTGGAGGAATGAAGACATTATTATCACCATCATTTACTCATAGAGTTTGGAATCAGTCAGATTAGGGAGAAACCCACCAGTGTCTCTGAGCTGTTCCACCTTCTCGTCTTCCTCAAAGTTGTCCGATTTCTTTTCATCGTCTGACTCCGAGCGATTAGCATCACCCTACATCACACACACAGATCCATGCAAGCATTGTTCATATTCTTTCCCATTTTCTTTTGAGTTTACTATCATGGCATGAAGAGTGAGACTCTCTGTAAAAGGGACTGTCAGGGTAATTCATTCGAACCAGAAAAAAAAACCCGTGTGGAGGAGAGGATGGTGAGGACTTAGCCGAACGCTCATTGTGCCCCAGAGGAGCAACATGATAACAATGTTGGATGAGAAAGAATTGATGATCTGAAATGATCAGTGGGGGTGTGGACCGGTTATAATCTGTATTCTCTCATCCCCTTTGAAAGCAGCGGTGCCTTACATGATGTGACACTTTGGTAATTGAGAGTCTGGACCTGCGGCCCTCAGATGGCTCCACGGGGAGTTAATTAACAGGAAGAAGAGGACCTTCATACAGCATTCACCCAGTTGCGGATGAGAGGTACTCGTTAGGAATTAGACATTAATCTCTATTCTCTTCCCCCGATATTAGCCCCACAACTGTAATAAGTCTTCTGTGTATTCCTTACATTCAGAGCTGTAAAGTTGCACATTGAAAAATAAGTGTTTTACTCAACTAAAAGACGCTGAATTATATTTAACTTGTTCTTACCTCAGCCTGGAAGCCCTCAACCAAGATGGCCACAAGTAAATTGAAGAGCACATAGTTGCCGAATGTCATAAGAGCGACGAAGTAGAGAGCTGCCCATGGAGAGGTTGAGGCCATGCCATTATACAACACCACGTTCCAGTCCTCCTGGGTAAGGATCTATGGATTGAATGAAAGACAAAGTCACGTTTGGAGATGTATAATTACACAAAGGGGGAAAAGACAAAGGGCCCACAGAAGGCACAGAAAGACAGAGACAGGGACACAGATGGAGAGGGAAGAACTGCAGCAGCATTAGCCTATACAGCCCTCATGGGTCTTATGCTTTGTAAAATTCAGTACTGAGCTGCTTTTATTGCCATCATGCCACAATACTTCAACCTCATACACATGGGATTACTGCAAAGTGTACGTGGGTGTGTGTGTGTGTGTGTGTGTGTGTGTTTGCCTGTGTTTAAATCAATGTGAGTGATGAAAGCATTTAAAACTAGGACGGTGTTCATGATGCAGCATGAAAACTCACTCCGTCTCTGTCCACTCATTAAACGCTGTGGCAGGAAGGCAATTCACTGCGCTGTCTGTGCGAACGTGTGTGTGCACACATGTATGTGTGCATGGATTTGTGTGGACTGTAGCTACTCCCTGGAAAACTATAGCAAGTTTATAGTGAGCGTAACACCTTCACATGCCAGTTCTGGATAAAAAAAATGCTTTTTCAGCATCATACTCCTACACACACACACACACACACACACCAAAGTGAGCAAAGTGAGACAGTCCACTGCATTCTGCGCTCCACCTTTCTGCTGACGCATCCAGTATAGAAAAGAGGACAATCTATCTGGAGCGATTGAACAATATCTCCACATAGGGAGAGCAAGAAATAGAAATGATAGTGAAAGAGGGTGTGCATAAGCAGAATTTCTCATTTCACAGCATTTGACTAATGAGCAGAACTTGGCAGTTGAATCTGGCATGCACACACACACACACACACACATAAATACACACATACACACACTCTAGGCTCAGTTTGACATTTTGATTTGGGATGGCTGAGGAGTACACATAGCCTGTACTGGGATAAAAATATACACACAGTGCCCAGTTTATCTCTTGCAAATACACTCCACAAAGGATGTGATGCTACAGCTGCCATTTTTTCCTACATGGGTTCACACTGAGTCAGTGAGGAGCATGTTTGAGCTCTCAGTTTGAAGGGAAGCCAGTTAATACCTGTCTCGTTGCAGAGATGTTTTTCAGATCGAGTATACACAACTGGCAGCATATAGTATATCTGTATAAGTTCATTTTCTGTGACAAGTAATAAGTCATTTTTGAATCATGTGCTCATCAGGATCGATACACAAGCACACAGACTAGAAATTAATACATTTAATCAGTTATTATTGATAGTACATGAGCTGAGTAAATTCTTACATTAAGTCAGCATCAGTGAAGTTTTGGCAAATCAATATGTCTAAGAGAAAAACTGAGCGAGCAAGAGTCAATCTGTGGATTAGAGCCAGCAGACCCTAAAGCACAGCAGCACAGCGTAAATTGAAAACTGACCTGGAAGACAGTGACGATGGCCCAGAGCAATGTGTCAAAGTTCTTACGGTCAGGGATGGTGTCTCCCGTCTCTGTCCGAAGACCGAATTTACAGCCAAACAGATGCATACCCAGTATACTGCGGTAAATAAGAGAACACAGTGTTATAACGTCAATATAATGAAAGAAAACATGCATTCATAAACCACAGAGATCAGGAGAATGGGTTTATGTGTACCTGAAAGTGAAGATGAAAAGCATCAGCAGCATGCAGAACGTGGCCACATTGTCCATTGTCTTCATCAGCACAACCAGTTGTCTCCTCAGGGCGGGCAGGAAGCGAACCAGCTTCAGAACCCTCAGCAGACGAAATGTTCGCAAGACCGACAACCCACCGTCTGCCTGACCAATTATCTCCCACACACTGAGAACAACAATCAAACTTGTATTAAAACAATATTGGATAATTTGGTCTAAATTAACCACGTATGTGAGCATAAATCTTAAAGTGATGAAGGTAATTCCCCTGTCAGTATCACAGCTAACCCTACCACACTAATCAAAAGGTTTCCCTGATCCAACTTGAGCTCTATCAAACTAGATGACAGCCATACAGCAAAACTTGACTGCCGACAGGATCAAGAATCTGCTGCGGCAGCAAGCAAAGCTGTTCCTGCGTGATACATCATGACTGTGTCAATCTTAGCTATTGTAGAGATGGATGCTGCAGCAGTGAACCTGACACTTGAAACCCAGTGACTGACAAGCGGGAGGAGAAATGAGAACAGAGGCTGGCTCTAAATCTGAGTTGAGCTGTCTAGGTTGTAAACTCTAGGTTGATTGGAGCCACAGTTTTTGTGTCTTTGCATTTTGTTTTTCACTTTAAACTTTGATGATGATGGCGTATATTATTCTGATGAAGATATATTATTACCTGATGATCACAATGATGCTGTCAAAGATGTTGTACGGGTTCCTGATGTATCCAAACAAGCCGAAAGCCAGCAGCATGAAGCCCATCTCCAGGACGAACATGCTGGTGAAGACAATGTTGCTGATCTCTAGCACATCAGTCAACTCCTCGGGCTGCGGAGAGAGAAGAGGGGAGACAAAGCCAGAGAAGAGAAGAGAAGAGAAGAGAAGAGAAGAGAAGAGAAGAGAAGAGAAGAGAAGAGAAGAAGAAAACAGGAGGCAAGAAAGAAAGAAAGAAAGGCGGTAGGAAAGGAGGGGCGCAAGAAAGCAAGAAAGAAAGGGGACAAGATGGAGAGAAAGAAAGGATGCAAGAAAGCAAGAAGGAAGGCAAAAAAGCAAGATAAAAAGGGGGCAAAAAAAATCGATAAAGAAAGCAAGCAAGCAAGAAAGGAAGCAAGGAAGAAAGAAATAAGGGGAGGAGGCAAGAAAGTCAGCAAGACAGAGAGAAGGGAAGCAAGAAATAAAAGGGGCAAAAAAGAAGAGAAGGAAAGGAAACCAGGAAACAAGAAGGCAAGAGAGAAAGGGGGTTTAAAAGAGATAAAGAAAGGAAACGAGAAAGAAAGAGGACAAGAAGCAAGAAGGAAAGCATGACAGCAAGATGAAAGAAAGACAGGAAGGAAGGAGACAAGAAAGCAAGCAAGCGAGACAGAAAGGGGTCAAGAAAGAAAGAAAGAAAGAAAGAAAAAAGGAGAAAAGGAGGCATAAAAAGCAAGTAAGAAAGAAAGGAGACAAGAAAGCAAGCAAGAAAGAAATGAAGAAAGCATACAAGAAAGCAGGACAGAAAGGGAGCAAGAAAGGGTGCAAGGAAAGAAGAGAGCAAGAAAGAATGCAAGCAAGCAAGAAGGAAGGCAAGAAAGCAAGATAAAAATGGGGCAAAAAAGAGATAAAGAAAGGAAGCAAGAAAGAAAGGGGGCAAGAAAGAAAGAAATTAATAAAGAAAAAAGGAAAGAAAGGAAGCATAAAAAGCAAGCAAGCAAGAAAGGAAACAAGAAAGCAGGAAAGAAAGGAAGCAAGCGAGAAGGAAAGCAAGGAGAGAAGGAAAGAAGAAAGTCAGGAAGACAGAGAGAAGGGAAGCAAGGAAACAAGAAAGCAAGGAAGACGGGGGCACGAAAGAGAGAAAGAAAGGAAACACGAAAGAAAGCATGACAGCAAGAATGAAAGAAAAAAGGAAGGAAGGAGACAAGAAAGCAAAAAAGACACCAACAAGCAAACAAGAAAGAAAAAAAACAACAAAGGGAAGGAGGCAAGCATGACAGAAAGGAGACAGGAAAGGAAGCAAGAAAGAAAAAGAAAGGGTTAGTTAATATATCCACTCTATTACCCAGAGGCTGTAAAACCTGTTTGGTCTTAGTGCCCTGAGCTGAGACATTATCAATCAAGTTCAGAGCTGCAGTCAGGCCCAATCAATCAAACAGGACCAACAGCACCAATCCATCAGCTCTGATCTACTCCACTTACCTCACAGTACAGCCAGTGAACCAGAGAGATGTAACTGCAGCCCTCTCATAAAGCATGAAGTCTAGTCTTTTATGGAAAATACAACAATTTTGTGCTCTGGTAAACCCATCACAGCGCCACATCCTGAACTTTTCTCTACAGAAACATTTTGCTAGAGCTGTATCAGTGATCCAAATGTGCTGGTTTGGATCAAAAGTCGTGACTTGGGGTCTATTTTTCTTCACATTTCAACATCCATCCTTCCTAAACTGAGACTCTCAGACATCTCACTCAGTTGCAATAACATATTTTTCCCGATCTCACATACTTTTACTTTGGCTCGTATCATGATTCAGTGCTGACAAGCTTTGTGCAGCGCTGACATTCACAAACAATTAATAATTATGATCCCCAGACGACTGAATCACTCTAAGCAATAAATTCCTACACTCTATAGTGCGCCGCGCAGCTTCTGAAGCCCTTTGGCTTGTGATCCAGAATTTTATTTTCATGTCACGCATGGCAGTCTCATTAAAACTAATTGTGATTCTTTTCATGTGGGGATCAACAAGCAAAAGGCCCAAAGCCCATTTTGTGTCCTGGCCCAGGGTGTATAAAACCAGGCAGACCATATTCAGGACTAATAAACACAGTGACAATATTAATATAGAAAGTCCCAGACGTCCTGCTACCACAGTAGATAGGGGTTAACCTTCAGCCTGTGTTATTCTGCGCTATCAGCGCCCTGCAGAAACATCCAGTGTTGGCTTTGTGGTTATTGTTTCTAGAAATTACAGAACTTGTTCTATGAATATGTTTGATAAATCAGGATTCCCCTTTCACAATCATACAAGTCAGGTATGTGAACAGTATACATATATGCTTCATTCTAAATAAATAAAATCATCCATTTTTATATATTGATAACATATATGAAGATATACTCAGGCAGAAAATACCAACAGTGTTAAATACGGATATATATTTGTGCACTCTGATGTATAAGACAACTTTTAAAAGCAATTCAAGTCCAACTGATGATCATGATCACAGATAGAGGGCGCCATACTACAGTTCACTCACCTCACTGTACCCCAAACATTCAGACAGACACAGACACATAAAACCTCCTGGGGAGGAGTAAACTCCAAACTTCTGACAGCCACCTCTCAAGACTAGAGGGTGAGAGCAGTGGTAGAAGTTTAATTGCTCAAGTAGGCCAAAGTACTTTTTAGACTGGATTTCGGCAAGGTTTTTTTTTTTTTTTTTTTACCTTTATTGGACTATGGTGATCTGCTCTTTATGAATGCACCTGACCAATGCCTAAAGAAGTCTGTCTGTTTGCATTGGTTGGTTTTTGTATATAAATCTCTGCTCAGATTGGTTCCTTCTTATCTGTGTACATACATGTGTAAAACCAAAACCAGTATGGCCTGGCTCTCACAATATATTACTGATGCTGGTCCCCAATGTTTAAACAGAACTAGACAATGCTGTTGCTCCTTGTCCCTGGAATAATTTACAGAGGGACCTGGAATTGTCTGAGCTGATTACCATCGAGGAATTGAGGTTTTTTGTGTTGCTTTTCAACTGGATGCTGCACTTGCTCATTTGTGGTGTGACAGTTGTACTTGTCTGTCTGTGTTGTTGTTGTAATAATAGAGAATATATACATATATATTTTACTGGAGTAGGCTATTTTAAATACAGTCCATTCCACTCCAATACATTTATCAGACAGATAAGAGTTATCAAACAAATCATCTCCTCCTGAGACCCTGTGTCCTCATATGAGGACATCACATTCTGGGTTTACTTGACCCTACACTTCATTAACTTAGACCCATTGTCCTTGTTTGTGACACCTTCTATGCCATCTAGTCATAGTTGAAGCACACACAATCCATGTAAAAACAAGATGGCAGCCATCTCTGCCAAGTCAGTCTGCAGCTGATCCCGACACAAAAGTGGACAAGGTCAAAAACCTGATCACATTTTATGGTTGAAACTTGTTTATTTCACTGTTGCCCCATTAGAGGACACTGGGGCTTCATTATTGTCTCGTTTGAGGACATTGGGACTTAGTTATTGTTGACAATGTTTAGTTTTTTATACTTATCGGGTCCTACTGATCCCAAATAGCTAAGAGAAATTAAAAATGCATACCAAACAAAACTTTAGGTCTCAAGAGGATATAAGTTAATAAAAGGTGATGCATAAATTACCCAGGAGAATACTGTATGAATAACTTAAATTAGACACACCTTAACCAGCATTCACTTACATGTTAATGACACAATCATACAAAAATATAATGCTGAAAAGGGCCATGCTGTATATTGAGTACTTTTACTTTTAAAGCCGAAGTTGGTAAATGTAAAAAATAGGTATGTTTTTATATTTGATGAAACTGTCACTACATACTGATGGTAGTACATGAGACAGATAATCTGTGATAATCTGCCTCCTCCTTGTGCTTTAATGGCATTTGCCACCACACCTAAATGAAACAGGCAATGCAGTAACATAATCTTGATTTTTTTTTTTTTTGCTCAGCGCTGCCCAGTTTGACCACAATTCACAAGGAGTGGTTGGTGGATTCTTGCAAATGTCATTAGAAGCATGAGGAGGAGGAGTAACATGTTTTTTGTTTTTGTTTTTTTTGCAAATTATCTGTCTCTGGGTAAAGTGAGTTTCAGCAAGTATAACAAGAAGTATTTTTTTTTTTTTTTCAATTAAAGTTACCCACTATAGCTTTAATGCTGTAAGTACACTTTATTGCCTAAACTTCTGTTTGTTTGATTAAGTAAAATTATGCTTCCAGAACTTTTACTTGTACTGGACTATTTTCATGGAGAGGTGTTACTACTTTCACTTTGGCGAATGATCTGAATATTTCTTCCATTGCTGGAATAGATAAATTCTGTGTCACTTTCAGGATCCCGTCTCTCACTGCATGAGAAACTGATTAAGCACACGGCTTTTTGTGTCTTTTTCAATTTCACGGATATTTGTTGTTGGCAAAATACAGTCTGTCTGATTCAGTGTATTGATAAGTGTTCCAATTTTATACTGTGATTGCTCAAACACACACACACACAAACATGCACACACACACACACACACACACACACACACAAGGTATTGGACATCCTGAGCCTGTCTAATCAATTGCTTTATTGACCTTATCAACTGCAGGAAAGGTTGTGTGTGTGTCTCCGGACATGTCAACCCACTGAGGGATTACATCCATTGCAGCATTAGTTTGGTAGTTGGTATGTTTACTGCTATGGCTCGTATAGCTGTGACCTCACTGTCAATATGAACTAGGCTGCTGTATGTGGAGTATACCTTCAGTGCAGCACAGGGTTATGTAATCTAAAGTGTGCAGCATCTCTCTTTTTGGGACTATTTTCAGCTGATGAGCTATTGAGTTAATTGGGACAGTCGTGAGGCTTGAAAACCAAAGCAGAAACGCCAGTGCAAAAATAAAAGGGCATGGAAGTAACGCCAGAGAACTCGAGTACGACTTTTGTTGTCCTGCATGGTGAGGAAAACAATGCCATGTTTATTTATTTATCTCTAAGAGCTGGGCAGACTATAGAGGGACGAGCTGTTTGCTGTCCTGCCTATTTGTTCAGATTCACTGACCGGCCAGCACATAAAAACTTTGAAGTACTTCAACAAAGCTTTCAAAGAACTCTCAGTCAGTTATTCTATCTCAAGCAGTCAAAATACTAGACCCACATACATTATTATTTAACAGTGGACTAGTGGCATTTTCATTACCTTTGTGGCCGTCACACCAGAGAAATGAAAGAGCATACTGCTGACTTAGAGGGCAATAATTTCCATACGCTATGCAGTGGTTTCTATGCCTGCGAGGATTACAAATGCATCTTTACTTGCTGCTTAACCATGTGTTGAGAGGGGAGTGTACATTATGGCTGACAGAGCAGATAAAACAATACAAAATAAAAAAACAGCAATGGCTGAAGGGCTCAAAGCTGAGAGCTGAAGGTTTGGAGTGCTAAAAAACTCAATGAACTCGCCTAGATTCAGTTCAATAGTCATACACTCTTGGATTTGTGCTTTGATGTTTGACTCATTAGCTCAGCGCTCTAAATTCTGGTTTCTGTTCCAGCTTATGAGAACATTATGGATAACCATTTGTAAGGAGCAAAACAGTTCGGGAGCTGGTCAAGCTTAAAGGTTAGAGAAGAATCAACGCCATGAGTATTCAAGTCCTGCAGCCAGCAAGAAACACATGGGTGGGGGAAATGAAAGACACACTATTCCCTCTATTAATATCCCATCAAGGTGCCCTTGAGTTGTCAGCTGCATCCCATGATGCACTGTTTCAGCACTAGATTGCCATGATCATTAGTAACTGCATGGTTTCAGAAGTAATTAGAAGCGCTTAACCATATGTCAATATGTTTTATGTAATCTACTCTGGTCCCTGATGAGCATTCTGAACTATTGCTTCAGACGTTGCTTTCCGCTACCATCGTTATGTTTGTCAGACCAGGCGATCAATCAGAATTAAATACTGTGTCAGAGCAAGGAAGAAGAAATTTCAAGTGTGTTCAAACACAACTCTGCACATGACCTTGCCCTTAAGACTATGAGGGACAAACGCACAAGAGATACACACACCTGCACACACACATCAGCAGCAAGTAAAGGAACAACCTTTAAAGGAGGACGCTGACATGAATAAAAATAATCCTGCTTAGTACACAAAATGAAATAACATGGACCAAATCATACAATATATCTTAGTATATAAAAGCATATGAATAGAATCAGGGACACAATGCCTACATCTTCAACTTCTTTAATTGAGCACCTAGGAGCGTATCTATAATGTGTATTTCTTTGTTTGTCTGTGTGCTTTTGATACACAAACTTCAAGAAAAAATTCATGTTTGTCAGATTTGTCTTTTAAATATAATCTAAAGCCGGGGGCCAGAACCGGCTCGCCAAAGGGTCCAATCCAGCCCTCTAGATGACCTTGCACACCTAATGTTGATGCACTTGTAGAGGCTGAGAGGTTTAAACAGTGAGCAGATACTTCATGTACAATACTGCCTTAAAGGCTTTTCCACCCTGACCAGAATACAGCTCTCTGAAAGAACAATAAGTACTTCATATGGTCGTATTTAAAGATATTGAACATTGTGCAAAATATTGTCAACCAGCAGACTTCTGTTCTAAAACAATATTAGTGGAACCCTGCTGCTGAGGCACTGACAAAACTTCAGATTGTAAGGCAGGGGTTGACTTATCCTGCTTCTTCAATAACTTCCACTTTAGTGGTAAATTATGAAAAAAGTCACATGTAATGAAAGTGAGTCATAGACTGACTGAATGTGGAAAAACTAAGAGGTACTGTTGAATCTGCACATCATTTTTCTTTCTTTGTTTGGTAAATGGATGAACATTTTCAGAATGAAAGAAACATTTGAAGGGGTTGATATTTACAGGTTATTATGCAGTGATTTCAGTGGTCCAGCCCACTTGAGATCAAATTGGGCTGTATGTGGCCCCTGAACTAAAATGAGTTTGACACCCCTGATCTAAAGCCTGGCTCTTCAACAGGGGATCTGCGACCCCTAGGTGGTTCTCAAATGTACTGCAGGAGGGCTGCCAAATTATTGCTTATAAGTTTCAATAAGGTAAGGTTTTGTCCCCATCCCCCTGAAATTAAAATGTGCCGGAATATACACATTAACATTTATCAAACATATTATTAGCTAAGATGACCTGGCCTATTTGTAAAAACCACAAACATTTAATTACAATACACAACACTGATGATAGGCTATTACCTATGAATCCTTGTGCAATCATGTTAGCTAGCTAATGCTAAATCACTGTGCAGATTCTATCCATAACAGTGAGGCTAACTGGTTAACCAACAGTTACATGCTATTGAAACATATTGGCCAGTTAGCTGTATTATTACTCTAAGTTTACAGACATTCCTGTGAGCCACAATGAATTGTTTAGTAACTTTTTGAGCAAGAGATTCTTAAATACTGTCTACATCAGAAACAAACATGATGTCGGTTGATAAATCTGTGAATCTGCCAATAATCGTCATTAGGCTACCCATATAATAGGCCCAGTTTATTATGAAACTCAATATTATTTAACATATGAAGTAGGGGGTTGCTGCTCCATTTCCATTTCAGCTAAGGGGTCCTTGGTCTGAAAACACTGAAGACCTCTGATCTAAAGTATTTACCATCCACACACTTATTTGTGAGTGATCAAGTTGGATTTGTGTCAGTCATTAACATGTTTTTATTAAGACCAACTAAAATACTGTAAATGTTTGTTAGTGTGTTGAGATGTGTGAATTAAAGGACAGTTTAGACTGTTCTGAGCTGCCAGACAGTGTATTTGAAATCGATTTTCACAAATCAGTCCACACACACACTAAACACACACATACAGACACACACACTGTCTACACTATGCCTCCTACATTCATACACCTCTTCACACACACATATACACTCATAGTCTCATAAAGTTTGGCTAGGTGTCACATAAGGGGGATGATGAGTACTGAGGGGAGGAGGAACTCTTACATAACACTTCAGTCTGTGTGTGTATGTGTGTGTGTGTGTGTGTGTGTGTTATTGGCCCAATAAGGCCATGGCTCTCCCAGTCGCTTCTTATGTTTATACCACAAAGATAGAAACACACACACATCCCCTGGAGAGGGGACTGGAGGAGAGGGAGGCAAGGAGAGACGGAGAATGGAAAGGTGGGAATGGACCGTGTCTCTGCACAAGAATCTTCTCTTTGGGTTTTCATCCATTTATCCTGCTGTACTGCCGGGAAACTAAAAGGTTGTGTGCGTGCGTGAGCATATATAATATACTTGGGTGTAAAAACTCTGTAGACGAATGTATCTGTGCTACTGCACAAATTTGTCAGAGTGTGCGACAGCGGAGCGAGGAAAAGGGGAGCTGTATTATTAAGCCGATACTTCCCAGATGTTGGCCACACAGGGTAAACTCGAAACATAATCCTCGAGTGTGTGTGACAGAGTTTATATATGTGTGTGAGAAAGAGGGAAAGAGCGGGTACTGCTCTCTTCCTTCATTCCCTCACCCAATGATACTCTCATTTCCTCTCATTATACTCTCAGACAGACAAATGCCAGTTTCACACACAAATGCCAAGTCTGACAGTTCTCATCAGACTTCCTGTTTCTCTATGAAGGTCGGTAGTTTTAAACCAATGATCTGAACTCTTTATATCTTCCATTTACCCCTCGTCTCATGAATTCTCACCTGTTCATGGTACTCTATCCCCATGCTGAGAGTATTGACGAGGATGGCGATCATGATCCCTCGGTTGAAGTATTTACTTTCCACAATCCTCTTCAGCTTTTCCCTGAAGCCTACCCAGGCGTAAACCACTCCATTTTTGTAATCCACGACCCCTCGCCGTCTGCTCCGACATCGCCCACCTCTTAGATCCCCCGCCTAGAGTAAAGATGGGAGAGTTATGTTAAGTCAGGCACCATGCTGACTGAGGGGTTTTGGATACAAAAACTCTTTCATTCAGTAATTACTGTAGTTTAAGGAAATATACAAAAATAATCAGTTAAAACAGTTTTAAACAACAATACTTTTGATTTCAACTGTTAAAGTCCCCCTCCAGACACATTTTAAAGTATGTATATATACTCTGCTATGATTCATATTTTTGTTTAAAATGGTTTTCCCATATAAAAAGTAAAACAAAACTCTCATTGAGAGACGCTATATCTGGCCCCGGCCAACACACCACTCCTGCTTGTGCAAGATTTTGCTTCTGCTTTAAGCTCTCTCCAGCACAGAGTGCTACTAGGACTGGACCACTACTAGCTGACTGGTGAAAGAGCAGTGCGCATCAAGATTGCTAGCATTAGCATTCAAGAAAACATCGGAGAGATACAGCTGTACATGTTTGAGCCCCAATTAGATCCAATCTTGGATGAGGAGTCTGTTGTGCACTAATAACGAACAGATGTATCAAAATGGTAACTGTAGTTAGCATCTTTTACTTGTTTATGTTGTTTATTAGCTTGGTAGCTGGTGGGCTAACTTGCAGTGGCTGACACAACATTAATGGTCATGAAACATAAAAAGTATTTCTTCTACAATGGGGTTTAAATAGTAGAAGGAAGCTCCAGGGTCTGGTTTACATCCAAAACCTGCAGATTCTACCATATTTGGTGTCAAAACGTTCACTATGCTAATGCTAACTCCGCTCTCTGTACTGCAAAGTCCACTCTGTGCTGGAGATTTTAGGGTTCTTTGCTGGTTTTGTGTCAAAGTCTCCCATCTATATTTGTGTCCTTCACAAGACAACGATTGGCTTTCATATTAGTAATGTACCTCTTTTAGTTTGACTGGCATATGTTGAAATCTCATATTTTATTGAATCACAAAGACATTGGCCCCTCTTGTAATAAACTTTGCACAAATACAAGTCAGTATAGTCAAGGTCAGATATTTTAGGGTTCACATGTAGCAGAAAAACACATTTTTGAATGAAGGGGGACTTTAAGTGTCAGGGCTTTCAAATGCAATTCTTTAAAAATAATATATGGCCATGTTTCTCCAGCTCTGAATTCGTATTTGGCCATCATCACCACTGTTGTTAATGCCAAATCACCACATCCACAACCTCCATCCTCACTGTTTACCGTCATCATTAGTCCACCAACTTGCAGTCTGACCTGGGGGAAGTCGTGCAGCCCATCAGCCTCTCCTCTGCCTCCCTCCAGGTCTCCCAGTTCCAGCTCCAAGGTCTCCAGGCTGCGGGCACACAAAGGGCAACTGAGCAGCTCCAAGAGCAGAGGGCTGGGCACCACGCCTGCCAGCTGGTACAGCAGCCTCTGGCGACCTAAAGGGGGAAACGAGAGGAAACAGTCAGACATTTCATAGGGTGGTTTTCCTAGCTGTCCTCATTTGCTGCTGTTGTCTTTTTAGTTTTTGAGAAAGTCAAACATGACAGAAGGGATTTTTTTTTTTTACCCTACCAGCCTTTCACCTGTTGCACCATTTTCCATTGCGAAAAACTGAACACAAATATTACTAGTACTATTTTTTGGGGGGCAATGGTTCCATGTCTCTATGGTTATTTAATCAATATCTCAAAATCTAATGTTATATAACAATATGACATCAAAGATTATGTATGTTCGCATCTTTACTACAATGTATTGCCCTTGATCGATGTTCATTTCAAGCATCTTTTTAGAAAAATGTTAACTGTAAATAATAACATAGAGCATGTGAAAGTACTTTTTCCAGCCCTGAGTTGCACTTGCAGTCTTTTTTGACAACCTCCACCATCAAGGAGCAGCCTGAGAGGCGAAACAGGGCAACAAATTTTGCAAATCATTCCTGCAAAGCACTCGCTGCTGCTTGTTAAGCTTATTGCTGTGAGTGCTGGATAATTCAAGGTGACTTGGATGAGTGTATCAACTTCTCCTCTCCGATTTCAATTATGGTTGCAGACAGTCAGAACACATGCTTCAGAGAAACTTTGGAAAAAAAAATCAGTCTGAAACAATAAAAGTAAGTGGGACAAAAACAGGATTTTGAAAAGTCAGGGAAGGAACGTTTCCCTCCACCGCAGTTAAAGTTACAAACCCGTTCTGACTCCCAAATTATTAAATACAGTTGCTTGGTCAGTGGCCCTACACTTCAAATTATGACGCTCTAGGACAGTGGTTCCCACCTGGTGGGTCATGGTCCAAAAGTGGGTCATGGGTCCATTCTGAATGGACCGCAAGTGACTTGCAAATGTGTTAAATCTGTCCCTTTTTTAAATACAGTGAATTTCTGGAACAGAGCTTTTATTTTGAAGTGCCATTTCCTGCTGTGGAGTGAGTGACTAACAGACAGCACCTTGAAAGAGACAGCAAACTAGGTTGACGACATAGCCAAACACAAGTATGATGCTGAATATATTAAACCGTGTAGACCTTGAACTAATGACGAAGGAGACATTTGTACCCCATGGCTGGACCTGTTGGGAACCACTGCTCTAGGAACCCCTCTAGCTTCAGTTTTTGAGGTTCAGGGTCAATTTCTGCTCGTTATATATCTGGTGTCTTTTCAAAATAAACTTTCTTTTGCACAGTGGGTTTCATCACCAAAACTAATTAAGGTTTAGGCAACAAAACTACTTGGATAGGTTTATTAAATAATCATGTTTTGCCGCCATGTTTGGGCTCAAAATAAGTTTGTTGGGAAACTTAAGTAAGTCCTTTCACACAGGACACAAACACAGGTCTCCTGTGTTTGTTTGATCCATCCACCCCCCTCCTCCCACCCTCCCAACCTATACAGACTGTGCTGTGAATGGGTTCAAATTGGAGTTAGTTGAAAAACAGACACTAAAGGGTGTCTTGTGCATCTGGATCAGATACAGATAGCCACGGACCAAGCTTCTGTATGTGATGCCCTGGTCATGAGTACAAGCTAAAACACTCCTGGTTGTATGTACTTAGTCTGTTATTTATCCATCAGCAATTTCTCCCTCCATTTAGTTTTATATGAACTTTGAGATGTCTTTAAACAGTGCAAAACACTTGTGTTTGTCACAGAGAAAGACAGAACAGTATGATGCTATATTTAAAATAGATATGAAAACAGTGAAAAATCAGGGTGTAATAATAAAGCTGTAAGACTATAATGTAAGTGAAATGCATGTAGTGCTGAAGGGATGTCCTATCTCAGTAGAGAGCCAAAACAAGCTGGTTTCCACAGTGAGTACAGCGAGCTCGCCCACAGTACCGTACAAGATCCTGGATGACTCCTCTCACCCTCTGTTCCTCTGACTACATCCTGTTAAAACCAGTACGATGGAACTGCACCGCAGCTAAACATGACTCCTGGAAACATCAGCTCTTCAACAGAGCACTATCTTGTTTACAAAGCTTTCTAATACCTCAAGCTATAAAAAGGCTTGTTACAGTTGTCCTCATATTTAATTGTCTTTTACAAGGGGCAAAATATTTGTCTGGCAAAAAGCTTGTTCAAATTCATCCCAACCTCACATCACCTTAAATCACATTAGGTTAGATTAAATCACATTTAAACTCAAATTAGATTTGAAAGCCTAAGACTTAAAAAAATATTCCCAAGAAGAGAATAAAGGGGCTATTCAACCAAAAACAGCATTCAAACTCTAATCCCATTACACTGCAAGGCTTAGCTAAGATTGAGTCATCTGACAAAGCTGAAAGCAAACATTTACAAACTACAGATCCAGAAATGTCCGACAATGACTAGAGACTATTACTCATTTAGATTTTAGCTTTAAATGGCTGTCCATTAAAGCCAATTTAAAATGTGTGATCTCTACCACACATTAGTAGTGTTCCTCTCACTCTCCGAAGGAATCGTATTGACTGTGTGCAGATCAAACGTGTATTGACTGTTTAACACGTTGAACACACTCTTGTGGTGTTTTTAAGCCTGTTTCAGCACTCTTCCTCATCGCTGCCTTTCCTTTATTTATCACGTGTCGCACAGTTACTCTTCACTACAGCAAGGAACTAATTCGTGTGCACTCAATTATGTCTGGAGTGTCAGCAGCCAGCAGTGTGTGAATGTGTGTGTGTGCTTGTTAGCAGTCTTAATTCATTAAGATAAAACAGACAAATCTATCATACTTCTGCTGCTTTGTCATTTTCCTGTGCAACCAACAGTTTTATATTATCTCCTCTCTGTCTGTTCTCTGTTCTCTCCTCCCTCTGCCTCATGCTGTCCCCCCAGCTAGCCCTTCTTTTTTCTCCTTTCTCCACATTGATCTATTTTTCTCTCCATGTCTCACCCTTCTAGCCTTTCCTTCTAAATCTGAATTTTTAATACTTCATGCCTCTCCTCTTAAATCCATCTGTTTCTGTGTTACTTTGCCTTCTTTTCTTCCCTCTGCCACAACCCGCACACCACGTTGATTCCCTCAATCCTCCCCTTTATCCACCTCTCTGCACTGATGACGGTAGCACTCGAGACATGGATTTCCTGTCAGGACTCCGCAAGTGCTGCTTGAGACCCATGCACACACACACACACACACACACACAGCAGATGTAGCCAAAGGCTACCTCGGGTCAAACTTGGGATGAGGACAGATGTGTTTACTAAATGGAAGAGCCAGACATGAAGATGAAAACAGGACGGTGATCGCAAGAAAATATAATAGAGCCTGAGGGAAATCCACAGTGTCAAGTACAGATTGAGGAGGGAATTACAGGAGAGTGAAACCCATTTAAAATACAAGCAGAAGAAAGACAGGCAAAATAGAAAACAAAATGAATCCTCGACTATGAAGAATAACAGGATTAGTAATGTTATGTTAACCAGTAAACCCAAACTAAAGAGACTGAGAGAAAGTTGTCTACAGTCCACAGTCCTTGTAGGGGAACGCCAGTATTTTTCACTGTGGACCCTATTTTCCCATGTTGTTGTGTCCAAGTGACTCGTGGGAACAGCAATTTTTGAATTTGTCCAGCATTAAGACACAGTACTGCAGTTGGCAGCAGCAAAGAGGGTACAACTTACTGTAAGCCTGAACAAAATAACTGAACCTCTGTGTGTGTTTTATGACATGTAGAGCACTTTAATGATGCATGGTGGATAGGTCTATAATAATGGAGAGATGTACTGTTGTTTATGCTTAGTTTTTGGTGCTTGTTGTCAGTGTTCTAGGGTGCTTTCAGACCTAGAGCTGTCTTGCTTTGGTCTGAATCAGGGACTCATTTTGTTACAAAGTTGCATAATTGCCTAGAGTTGGTTCGTGTTCTCACGGCAGCATTTACAAGCGGACCAGATAAAACAGAGACCGAGACCACCTCTTCAAGAAGGTCTCGGTCCAGTTGTTTTGGTGCACACCTGAGTGTGATTGCTGTGTTCACACCTGCCCAAAAGCACCGCAGGGCAGGTGTGAGAGCACCCTTAGTTTCAGTCTATTTAAATCTGATGATTGCTGTGTGGTACACAATGAATTTCCAAAAGGACTCATATGTACCTATCTACCTGTCTACTCATTCAGCTAAAGAACCAACCAACCAACGAACCAACCTGAGGCAGGTGCAATTTACATCTGCTTAGAGTGCATGTTTTTGCCACTGAAACGCTCAGATTCAGAGCCTCAGAAATGACCCTAGAGAGATATGAAAACCTTTCCGTACCTTTCACTTGCCCAGTTTGGTTTTGTGTCCAAGTCTCACTAGCCAGAATTCTCTAAAATCTCACAAATGGTGAATTGGCACAGGAAGGTAAATAATGGAAACAATAGTAAAAGTTGTAGGGAGGTATATCAGGAAGAGTATGTTGTGGTAGAGTACAGAAAGGGTATCTTCGTCTTATCTAAAAGATTTTCAGTGTTATGGTTAAATAATTTGGCTGATTTTGACAATGTTTAAAGTCTTAGAGATTTAGGGGTGAGACTTTTAGTGAGACTTGGACATAAAACAAAATGAAACAAGCACAGAAAAACATTTCATTCCTGTGTAGGGTTCTTTGTGTAATGTTGTCAGACACTTAAAATAACAATCTGAGCTTGTCGGAGCTTTAAATGGACTTAACTGACGGGGCACCACTGCCAAAAGTGGTTACATTGAAGTATGTTTCCTTGTTGCTGGCTGCAACACTTTGTCTCATTACTGCATGGATTTCTAAAATTTTTCTTCCCATAAGTCACTTAAACACACAATCATGGGAAAATACGGGTGCCCCTTTAAAAGCAAGACGTGTGTGGGTCTGTGCACAGTGTGTGTGCTCTTACTGTGCTGTCCCATGAGCTGGTAGAGCTTGTTCAGTGTCTCTGCATGTTCAGATGCTGGGTGGTTCGGTGGGTGCTGCTCCGGACTGTGTCCACACTGCTGGGAGTGGGGCGGCGGTGTTTTACTGCTGTAGCTGCACACAAATGACGGCAGAATGGTCGGATAGTTCATCCCTCCGTTCAGTCGCCCGAGCAACGCCCCCATACCCTGGGTGACGACAGATGGGTTGCCCCCGCTGCCGCCGCTATTTCCATTTGTACTTCCTCTCCGGACAGGAAGAGACTTCATCTCCAGCTCCTCCCCTCCTTCTCCGTCCGTGTGCTCGGCGGTTGTCACGGTGATGGTGTGCTGCCCCCCGTTGCTGAGGCGACAGTGCTGGTGCTGATGGAGCTGCAGAAGGTTGTGGATCGGTCTTAGCCACAATGCACTACCCGGGCCTAAGCCTCCACAGGTCCTGCTGGAGCTGTGGCCGTGTCCGTTACCCCCGCCATTACTTCCTCCGCTGCTGCCATTAGGATTCACCTTTTTACGCCGTTTACTGACAAAAGGACAGGAGACATTAATAATGCTATGCTAATGCTAAGTATTGTTATATAACGTAATTCTGTGAGATACAAAATTGCCAAAGCACACTGACACAAATCTTAAATTCCCCTTACACCACACATTTTAGTTGGCTCGTATGACTCATACATGTTTCAAATAGACACAGGAGAACCAGCGAAGACTAGGAAATGCTGGGGAGAGCCATGAATAATTCAACCTGGGGAAAAATGTATGATTATAATTTCAATAAAGGGAATTTATCCTGATATTTTGACAGTCTGCCTCGTAATATCACACAATCTACAAGCATGCATGGAACAATTCCAGCACAGGTTGTGTGATGAAAATTCTTGTCTGTCAAGCGATATTGCATCCCTTTGTAAAAACATTAACATTATTTCATGTCATCTATATTTGAATGGATATTTCTGGACATAGAAAGTAAAAAATACCACCAAAAACAGCCACACATCTAACCTGTGCCATCCAGAGTATATCCTCTGCAGCCTGCGTGTGAATTTGCGATAAAGGTGGCTGATGTAGCGTAGCATCTCCTCGTAGCACGAGCCTGGTTCGCTGTAGCTGGCGAGCGTGGAGTCGTTGGACATGTAGCGAGCGCGCTGCTCCCTCATCAGAGCATTCTCCCTCTGCTTTGTCTCGGAAAACTGGGTGGCGATGACCACGAGGCACAAGTTGATCATGAAGAAAGAGCCCACCTGATTGGGGAGGTAGAGAATGGAGTGATAAACCAGCAGCAGTGTAATGATATGGGAGCAATTGTTATCCCTGAAGCCTACTAAGTAAAAGTGCTGCAATATATCTGTGAAATCTTTCCTGTTTTCTCGCTGTTCAAATAGAAAATCGACACAGTGGCTACTTCATCAATATTCTATTTAAGGAGCAACTCAACCCTCAAGGTGTTAAAAGTGTAATAAAACACTGTGTCAACAAGAAGCTGTATTAGGGATCATGTATTATTAAGCTGCAGCCTGTTGCAAGATCCTGGACTGAACTGACTTTGTTTTTATCATTGCTTTAAAATCTTGAAATTTAAATCACGCTCTGATGAGGTGGCCTTGACAGGAAGTTAGGACTATCTATCACGTCTAGAAAGAAATGTCTATTTAACAGGCCATTACTGAATGTTACTGAAAAAGAGATAGAAAATTAGATGAGCACTTTCTCCATTTTTTCTTTAAATTCTTTCCTCTGATATTTTCATTTATCTTAATTTCTGTCTCACCTCTGTCTTTATGAATCACTTTGTTTTTCTTCCAGCCCTTCCTCTACTCCCCTCTTTCTCTCTCTAACCCCTTTTCTCTTTCTCCCCCATTTTACGCTCCCTCTCTCCTCCCCAATGCATAATAAGCACTTTTACATCAAACGACAGGCAGGCATGGAGCTCATACAGCATTGTAAAATATAGCCAAAGCTTGGATCTTTGAAAACCCCACTACAGTGTGATAAGAGTGAAATTATACACAATAAGAAGTCTGCGAGGTTCAACAGAGGGGAGTAATGCCTCAAGCAGAGTTTGGTGGTTTGCTTTAGAAAGGTTATTCTCCAAAAGCAGGACTCAAATGCAAGTACACAAACTATATCTTGGAGGAGCAACACATTATACATATGCATATCTGTTGAGAGCAGACTGTGTAGAGCCTTATAAAGAGGAGCAGGATTAAAGAAATGTGTGTGTCACATAGTACTGAGTTCAGGTTCTGTGGCAAAATATTAGATGTAAAGGTCCAGTGAGTAGAACTTAGGGAGATATATTGCAGGAATGGAATATAATACAATAAGCAAGTTGTATTTACTGTATAAGAAAGACAGACTCATTCTCCCAAGATGCACCACAGCCACAACCTGTACAACTCCTCCCTCAGAGTGTCAGCCGCTCTGAGTCAATAGATTGGCATTTGGACTTAATTCACCTACTGCATTTATAATTCACATCTATCTACTTTATCATGCACATAACTGTACATATTTCTTACGTTTACTCTTATTCTATTCTTGTTTTATTCTATTAATGTAGTTAAATTTTCCACATTTACAGCCTCAGCACAGTAACAATATATATCTTATTTTTAATATCTTTAATAATCGTAAGCACTAGTGTGAAACACTGTAGCACAATGCACATTCTATTTTTTATTTTTAGTGCACATTTTCATTTCTATTTGATTTTACTGCTTTATATTCACGTACTTCTATTTCATAATCGTTTTCTTACTTATTATAATTCTCTATTCTTCACATCTGAGCGACGGTAACAAATCACAATTTCCCCTTGGGAATCAATAAAGTAAGGTAAGGTAAGATAAGGCAAGGCAAGGTAATGTATGGTAAATTAAGGTAAGGTAAGGTAAGGTTAATTAAGGTAAGGTAAGGTAAGGTAAGGTTAGGTAAGGAATGGTATGGTAAAGTAAGGTAAGGCAAGGTAAGGTATGGTAAATTAAGGTAAGGTAAGGTAAGGTAAATTAAGGTAAGGTAAGGTAAGGTTAGGTAAGGTAAGGTATGGTATGGTATGGTATGGTTAGGTAAGGTAAGGTAAGATAAGGAATGGTATGGTAAAGTAAGGTAAGGTAAGGTAAGGTACGGTATGGTAAGGTAAAACTTTAACGCCCCCAGAGGGCAATTTGGGATACAGAGAGTAGTCATAAGTAAAACAAAACAGACAGTACAATACATAACACTCAGAATCCAGTATCACACACTGTCCCTGATTTATCCCTGACAGTATGTGACAGTATCACACACTGTCAGGGATACATCAGGGACAATTAGTGGTCACCACTGGTTAAGAAAAGCGATAGCAGACGGAACGAGGGATGATCTGTAATGCTTAGTGCTACATTTAGAGAGGCAAAACCCCCGCCCTTCAGATTTCTGATTTCTAATCACCTGAATGGACAAACCAAACACTGGCTCTAGATAAGACCATTCGCATTTTTGCCTTGGCCACCATGGTTAGCAGCCCCTCCACAACCAGCAGCTTCATAAAAATACATATTCGTAATCTGAAACTGCTTTATTCAGTTTTTTATCAGTTGAAATCACCAGGTTTGTTTGTTTTGGAGAGGAGGAGACCTCTGTAGATAATTTAGCGACCTGTAAAGACCTCCTAAATGCCTGGATCTTAACTTAATAGAGAAAAAAGGTGAGCACACATAAGCAGGTGCTGGGTTGGCGGCCTGTCTGCGTCAAGCCAAACAGTGTTGGAGAAACAGTGACTTGAAATGTGAAACTGCTTTAGTCAGTGTTTTTTTTTTACCAGTTTGAATCACCTAGTCTGTTTATTTTGAAGAGGAAGAGGCCTTTGCAGATAATTCAGCATCTGGTAGGAATCTCCTGAACAACACACACTGAGGAAATTCTAACTGGGAGTTCACACTTGGAACATGTTTCAGCTGGTTGCAATCTGCAATTCTTTCAGCTAGAGATGGCTGATACTCCACAAACAAAGCATAACTGTTTAAAAAAAAACTTCAGGAAGTCAGGATTACTGTGAAGAGTTTAGCTTTGCCGGGTTTGGGCTCATTAAATGTTGGAGTGGTTTTTGTTTGGTTCAGTTTCAAACAACACCCGTGTTGGTCAATGCAGATCTGGACCACATATTTTGGACCAAATCAAAAGTGTAGCTTTTAATTAATTTTGCTGCTATTTTGGAGCATGCTTTGAGTCACAGCAGCACATTCAAATATCAGGAAAGGTTTAACTAAAACAGAAATAAATATAAGGGGGTACTTACGATAATGAGCAGTATAAAATATATAAAATTGTAGAAGGAGTGAGCGTCCATGACATAGTACATGATATCTACCCATCCCTCCAGTGTGATGACCTGTTGGTGGGGACAAAAAGAGACAGACATTGTATTATAATGATTGAAAAAGTAGACATACAGCATTCCTTTGTGGCTCTGCCCATTGCTTCTTCTTCAAAAACATATGACAAACACACCCATGGAAGCACAAACACAGACGTACGCAGACACTCAAAGTACACAACAGTCAGATGCAACACATTTCCAATTCTGTTTTTAATGGCAATTCCTCAGAAGAAAGCCCGTGGTGTCCCTCCAGCCTCTTATGTGTGTGTGTATGTGTGGGTGTGTGTGTGTGTGTGTGTGCCAGGAGACTGATGCAGCTCTTTCATGTAGCCACTATGCTAATGAGCAGTCGAGATGCTGAGACCTGAAAGCGGTGGCTCAGCTCAGCCAAGCCGATAATACACTCACACCTCAACATTTCACACCTCAGCTAGCATAACACATTACGGCATAAACTGCCAGAGCGACAACGGCATGAGCGAACATACACTGCATGAATGTCCAAACACACATGCCAACAGGCACGTGCATGTGTGCATACCTGTGATTTCATAAAGAATCATACATAAGCCTACCATGAACAGACACTACAAATGCATAACACACACACACACACACACACACACACACACACACACACACACACACACACACACACACAGCCCCAGAGCTGACTAATCCGCTCTCTACTGAAGTGCTCTCCTTGCAATGGATTAACAAAAGAGCAGAGGATTCTCATTTCTGAGCTAAAACACCTGTAAAATGCAGTCATTGTGCAGGTTTTTATTCTATAGAATAAAACTGAATAAATAGATGGCTGTTGAAAAGAACAATAGCCATCTGACCCACCACATATTTAGTGACCTAAACTACTAATCTGGCAGTTAACATACACTTAACAACCGGAAAGAAAGAAAACCAGACAGACTTTTTATATAACTCACCTATTTATATCTCATCAAGGGTTGAATCTATGCATGATTAAAGACGTGGTTACTTTCAGTGAAAGTCTGTTTACGAGGCAGAGTCACTGCAGGCTAAAGCCCCGTTTCCACCAAACACTTTCGGTATGGTACCTTTGGAACCAAAAGTAACCCTTCAGACATGGTACCTAGACCCTAGCGTTTCCACCACAAACAGTACTCTTAAATGTGGGCGGGGTTGTTGTCACTCAATGCTCCATCCAGCACTCACTGTGTTTCCTCCTTTATCAGTCCGCACTTTGTTTATCGTCCACAGAGTGCGGTTTCAGTCCGACATATTCAGAACAAAATGAAACAGGCTGCAGTGAGAGTCTGAATAGGATATTTAGAAATGGGTTTGTGCATTTAGTCCTTCTAAGGCAAGCTCAGGGGTTTAGTGTAACAGTAGCCCACAGGAACTACACTCCACAACACTTTTTTTTCTCTGAGTGAGGATTAGAATATATGCAGTTCACATAATCCGGTCAACATTAATATATATTTTTTTGAACGCTTGAAGATCCACTCATTACTAAAAGTGTGTCATCCAAGAGAGACAATAAAAACTTTAGTAATGGTCAAAGTTGTCAAAGTGAAATTTTAGGTGTGCTGATGGATTCATGTTTACATTCCACCGTAAAAGTTGCCGGCAGCCGGCCCAGTGAATTAAATTTTTTTTTTCTAAGACTCCAGCTGCTGTGAAAAGCAGCAAAACATCCTTTCATTTTATAGTTACAGTTCACTAATAAAACTCTCCACAGTATGAACAGTGGTTACAGGAGCCTCAAAACCAGCCACAACTCAGCCCTGAGCAGAGTGACCGTCCTCTACTGACCAATCAGACTGCAGTGTTCACAGCTCCACCTTTTAGTACCAGATCTGTGTGCTAGGTACCCCAACAGAGGGGGACCAAAAATGTGGACAGTACAGAACGATTCCATTGGTACCATCCACAACTTTTCACAGTGGAAACGGGAAAAAGAACACCGAACTATACTGTACTGTCAGATCTTCCCTTTGCTCTTCCACACCTCCATCCTTCGTCCAAATATGGTCACTTCTGGCTCCAAAAATCCAAGATGGCGAGGGCCAAAATGCCAAACCCGAGGCTCCAAATTTGGAATCCGCTAACCAGTGGGTGGCAACATGTCCATTATTTTTATTCGGAGCTCGTTGGGCAATCTGTCTTGTCATTGACCTGCCCCTTATACATACAATTCATTAAGAATGTAAGCAATTCCAGTACTTTTTGATCAGAATGGAATAAAAGGAAAATTAAAAAAGCATCATTAACTTCTTTAAATACTCCTCTTGTGTCAAGTGATATGGGTCACAGGAAAGAGAGGATTCTCACCTGACATTGGTTTAATTTACGAGAGGACACAAACACACTGACCTGAACTAATCACTCACTGACCTCCAGGCCAGCCTCCATCCCTTGCTCATGACCCACTGTGAAGATCAGAGGTAGCTAGTAAGGCACTGAGTCCTGTGATTCATGCTAATGAGATTAATGATATACATGTGGTCCAGAGAGCACGTCCTCAGCCGTTCTTGCTTAATGACTTAACTAACACATGAATCGTAATAGACACTCTGGCAGAATAACTGTGTGTGTGAGTACACGATCGATAGTCATTAACCTGTAGGTTGATAGAAACAGTGGCCTGATAACCCTGAGATGCCTTCGCTCCTCTTGTCGCCCTTTATCTTTCCACTTTACCTCCTCCACCTCTCTCCACCACTCTTAGCTCCGCTCCCCTGCTCTTTTTCTCTCCTTACAGTGCTGACAGAGGTCAGTCTATTACCTGGTTCTTAAGCCAAGGGTCAGGACTGGGTTTGATTGACATCTTCCAGTAAAATCGATTGTTATCACAAACTAGGTGGGACCCAGTCAAGCTAGAGGCTTGGCTGCGCTGGGTAACCAACGTGACTTGTTAACAGCTTGTTGTTCTCTGCAGGAGTCCCTTGGTAATGCGGAATCAACTCAATTTGGAGCCACGGGCTGAAATGTTTTCAGAACCCTGCGCTGAAATGTATAATTCATGTTCTTTATATTTACAGATACTGAGGGAATAAGGCTGTAAACTGGGATAACAAGCCAAGCAACTCATTTAACATTCAATGGAGCATTCTTGTTTTTTTTCCAAACATATTTTCTGCCTTTCTCCATCTATCTGTATCTCAATCACTTTTATTTTACAGTCTCATTTTAGCTCTCATTTACTCATTGTTTATTCATTATTACATCCAGCTGTCAACAAATTATCTGTATGATGTATTAATTTAAATGTTTCCATTATTACAGACCCTTTATTGACAAATAATAACATCTAATTCAAATATTTTTTGTGGATTTTTCTTAAATTGTGGAGACATTTCCAACTTAATATTGTATATAACATAATTTACATGCAATATACAGTAGAAGTTAACCAGATGGCGCAAACTTCTGCTTGTCATGTTACACCAATTCCAAGTGCTACATCGTAGGCAACTGGACTTGCTTGAGTTTCTTGAAGACGTTTCACCTGAAGACGTTTCACTTCTCTGTGGAAGCCTCTTGGATGAGAAGTGAAACATCCCCAAGAAACTCAACTAAGTCCAGCTGGCAACGATATAGTACTTTAAATTACCATGACCTGGATGACTGAGAATCTTCACCAACATGTTACACCACTACACCTGCAGGTAGCAACACCTCCTGACTGCTGAGACAGTTCAGTATCCAGAAACTACATCCACCACTAATGAGCACAACTTTTCCCAGTGATCATCTGCATCTACCACTTAAACACCGGCAGTTACCATGGATCATAATATACGTATACACATATCAAATACCTGGCTAAAAAACTAATCTCACCACCAATCTCTGCTAAACCACCACGAACGAAAGAAGAAATCGAGAAAATCTAATCTTTAAAGCCTCGAACTGCAAGCTGAGACCACACACACACACGCACACACTCAAGTTGTGAGTACCTAACAGGGATTAGTGTGTGTGTTTGTGTGTGCCTCCAGTATTTGTGTTGTTTGGGGTAATTTGAAGGTAAGACTCTCTTTGAGAAAGTCATGTTGTGTGAGTCCAAGTCTATTAGACACAGAGACAGATGTATCAGCAGGTCCTGGACAGATCTATTAGAAGGGAATTCATATCACAACAGCGCAGACTGTATTAGCACAAAGAGTGTGATAAGGAAAAGCCTGTCACGGTTTCCCTGAGGGGCTGGAATCAGCTGGAGGGGGAAAGAAAAATACAATTTCACAACCAGCGAGTTTAGGAGGAAATGGCTTTTAGGTCATGATACATGCCCTCTGATGGCCTTAGTGGTGGAATTTGAAAACTTTTTTTATTTTTTATTTTGTGTACATAAAGAAAGAGAATTGTATAGTTTGCCACATGTAATCAGCTCGTTATCACTGTCTTGTTGGTAAAACTTTCAATTTAGAACAACTGATGCGTGCAGAAGAAACTCATCTTTCTTCCCACTGAGCTTAAAGTCCAATGGGGCGTCCACAAACCATGAAAACGCTTAATTGTAAGCTCACAGTCTAGTGAGACATTCAACATCCAAATCTGCACATTCACCCCTCCTTACCTGGAATATGGCTATCCAGGCGTAGCCGATATTGTCAAAGTTGACAGCTCCCTTGTGAGGGTTGTGGTCCCCGGGGCGACACACATTATAGTACTGGTTCCAGTTAACACAGCCGTTAACACTGGCCCCACCCACTGATCCAATCAGAGCTGAGCTTTGGTGGGGAGCGGCCAATGAGCACTCGACCCCGCCCTCTGTGTGAGGCGGCACACTGTGGCAGCGCAGCATCCCGTTCTCGCGGGGAGCAGAGCAGATGAACGGGCTGTCTTCACCCTCCTCTGACATGTAGTAAGGACTTATGGACAAATTGTACATTCTGGATGGAGAAAGAATGACAACAAATGGCTTTGTTATTACAATACAATAATTATGGGTACATGTAGCTTTTAGATAACTCTTTACCTTTTTTGTTTTCTTTGTTTATCTCCGTCTTTCTTTCTGCTACAAGTTCTATAGTAGGTCATATTATCAATATCCTGCAGATACACTGAGAACCGGCTGATGTGATAGATAACAACCCTTTTGCCTTTTCAGAAAATTACAAATTTGCACTTGAATTGAGAAGACATTTTTATTGCTGCTATTGTGTCTTTCACCAATGAGGAGGTTCAGATTATAATTTGTGGTATTTAAAGGGACAGTTGGTAACTTTTATAGAAATATCTTTTTGTGATATTTGCTGAAACTCTCACGATAGTACATGGGACCTTTAATCTGATTGTAAACAACCAATCAGAGTCAGGAGTAGTCTTTAACGCAGTGTCATTCATTGCTCATGCGAACGCTGCACAGCCCTACTCCCCCTTACATGCTCTCATTCAGTCAAGATCACTACTGTCATGGCTTCAGGAGCTTTGCACACACAAGAGAGTGCTGCATGGACAAAGTTTTTTGTAAGCTAACATGCTAACAGAAGTTAACATGGCCGTGTCAAAGAGGCCAATGCAATTTTTCCATAAGATATTGGATTACTGCAGAAAATAAGGTTTGTGGCAAACAGAGGATTATAATAATTACACCTTTTGTTAAGCAAGAAAGTCTTCACAGATTAACACCACTTTTATGAATTTTTGAGTGTAAAGTCAATCGCCAGAAGTAAAAAGCTAACAGCTATAAACAAACTTCACCCTGGCTGATTGCTTTAACGTCACCGCTACAACAAGGCTATAAAGCTGTTTTTGGTGTGATGATGCTCTGTAGTCACATTTAGCCACTTGTTAGCAACTGCCTTTTTTAAGATGTGAAAGCTTCAAAATTAAGGGGTGGGGTGTTTATTTTATGTCAAAGAACAAAAAAGTATGTTCACCACAGCCCTTATTTAAGGCATCTTATCAAAAAAACAAAAAAACATTAAAAAAAAAAACAATGACTTCTAGACAAGGGAACCAGGAGTGCTAAAATGCTAACTAATTTCTGGCTTTTAGGAGTCTTTTCTGCACCATTCCATGCCTGAATAACAACCACCAGCAAACTGTCTGGAAAACTGTCCATCCCTCCTCTGCCAACAACAGCATGCACAGCAAACACAGAAGTTCAGAAGAAGACAGACATCAAAACGCAACCTAAAAAGACATTTAAACCAGGCCTGAGCCGGCATCAGCTCTGAATCCTTAATCCTTAACTCTCTTCTTAGCTTGCTCTTTGTTGCCAGTCTTGTGTTTACTCCTCTGTACTGTGCACACTGTTGTTGACAGCCCAGTATGTGCATGAACCACAGATTCACACCTTAGAGACTCTTCTTGATCCTGATTCGCCAATTTTTTTCAGGCATGGTGGAATCATGCAAATCCATTAGGAGAACTGGGAGGGGAACCGGATTTTTTTTCACAGATTATCTGTCTCATGTACTGCTGTCAGGACATAATGACAATTTCAGCAACAGGACACAGGTTTTTTAATACAATTGTTAGGCCTTCTGTAGCTTTAAGGCCCTGACACACAAAGCCGATGGTCAGCTATTGGTCAATGTTGGGCCATCCACGAGCATCAGTCACCTTAGTTGGTGCAGTGTGTCCCACACCATTCCCCCCTTATTGGCTCCCACCGGCTTTAATTTGGACGATTCAGCATGTTGCATCGGTGTCAGTGACAATGGGGCCCTTTGGTGAATGAAATCACTCTGATTTAGGGATGGGTCACGATTTTCGAATTTCGAATAGTCGTTTTATTTTTGAAAAATCGATTTTTTAATGCGACTATTACTATTACGATTATTCGAAAAATTGTCGAATACTTACCACGATACCACTACCACGATTTTCGAATAGTGTTTTTGCTTGTGTTGCCCATCCCTACTCTGATTGGCAGTTCAGTTCAGTGGACGAGAGAAGAAATAGAAGTGAGGAAAGTAAACAAAGAGCTAAAGTCAAGAGGGAGTGAGATCAAAGCTTGTTTCATAAGGGAGGATTATTTTTCTTTGGTCATTCAGCTCCTTAAGAGAAACGCTTCGTGATGGTTTGTGTTATCGTTTTCTGCTGCACGGTAAATATGCTCTGTTCTTTCAGCATTGGATGTGTTATTAATGTACTAACTGGCTAACTAGCGTCAAGATGGTTTTCTGGTTTCCCTTTTTGAATGACAAACACAGACTACCACCATCTGCTGGTGCCATGAGTTATTTCCTCTCACACAGGTATAGAACAAACGGGCTGGTTGGCTGTCGGCTGTGGTCTTTAGCTGTTGTGTTGATGTACAACTTTTTTGCCGTGACCTGGCAATGTCAGGCAACGCAGCAGGGGGGCTTTATCACCGCTACTTCTCTGAAGTCGGTTTGGTGTGTCTGAGCCTTTGAAGTGAGTTCTCAGATTGAAACCTAGATTAGATGTTAGCAAACAGTGTAATCAATGAGTGCTGATGTATCAGTGAGCTTATTAAATAGGCTCACATCCAATCACAGATGTTATCTTTGAATTCCCCACAAAACACCTCCAGTGAGAAAGACCAAGTTAAACTCCCACACTCTTTTCACACCGCATCTACACTTAGACTGTGTTCTCTTCTTCTGCAGCATCTCAATCAGTGATTTACACTCTAATCATAAATCCTCTGAACAATGAAGTAATGGGGTACATGAACCCTCTGTATTATAATTGCTCAGTAGCTCAAAAATAAAACTACAGCTGCAAGCAATAGAGGAGGGTATGTTAAAAACTTTTACTGAAGCTATTGAAGCCCAAACTGCAGCTTGTTTCAGTCAAAACTGTCCCTCCTCTTCATCAGTCAGTTTAACTTTATAGAGGGGTGTTCATTTTGGCTAGACCATCCTTATCCTATCCACTCTGTCTCTGTGCATTCACATGGAGGGTTTAATTGATTTTCTACTCATGGAACAAAGTACATCCCACAGTTTACCTGCTTATTTATATCCTCCTTTAAAGTGGAGAGCCCTCCACAACAGTGAGTGTACCTTTATGTAGAGCGACTGTCACTCGTGAAGTAGTGGAGAGGGACCAGTTAAGGAAAGGATTGTACTCTTTGCCAGACTGTCTACTGAGTGACTCCAATTATGCTCCAGCCAATCTTTTTTTCCCCTGTAACCTGTTTGTCTGTTGCTGTCATCTTAATGTCTCTCCTTAAGACTCTCCATTGGATTATAATTACTGCATGGATTCATGTGTACATTACTTTAATGATAGCATATATACTGCTAGAAGCTTGTCAGTTTCCCCCTTAGAATGATTATGTCTTGTCTTATATTAACCTACAATGACAAATGTCAAATTTTCCCTGTGGTTTCAAAAGTGGTAGTGAATATCAATATTTTTCGAGGTATTGTATTAAAGATGGTAATTCCAGTATCATGACAACACTAACCTAAGCTGTGTCTCAATTTAGGGGCTGCAGCCTTTGAAGGACGCAGCTTTCGCGGTCTTCATCAGCCACGTCCTTTAAAGGCCGCCTCAGCCAAACCAAACGGTCTCAGAAATGGGACGGTCTGGTCTGCGGAGGATTTCCTGCTTGCATCGCCAGTTGTTCTCGCCCTGACCCATTGGCATTTCTGTTACCTAGCAACCAGCTGCGATTGATGAAAGAAGGAGTGAGCTAGCAAGTTAGTTAGCCCTAGCCCTGGACCCACAGATAGTTATTATATATATACTTATTATTTAATACTTGTGGAGATGAGTCACCACCTAAGACACCGCCGGATGATGGAGAAACTTATTAAATTAAGTTTGCTTAAGCTGTGGGCTTTTAGCTAATGCTAATGTTACCAACAGTTAACCATTAGCTGGTCAACAACTATGAGTTAACCTAATATATATAATCGTCAGTGGCATGCAATGTATCTTGGGATAGGCTCGGCCACAAAAGATTCATCTGTTGCATCCTAAAAATTCTGGGAAAGAAGGCTACATTTCTTGGCCGCATTTGAAGTATGTCTTCAAATGCAGCCTTCGAAGGCTGCAGCCCCTGAATTGAGACACAGCTGTAGTGACGTAAAAAGTACAAAATACCCCTCTTAGATGTAGTAGTAGTGGAGTAAAAGCATAAAGTAGCATAAAGTAGAAACATGTAAGTAAGGTAAACATACCTCAAAGTTTTATTTAAGTACAATACTTGAATAAATCTACTTCACCACTGATAACACTGGAAGTCAGACAACCATTTGTTCTGTAAGAAAAAAATCCTGCAGTCTCGACTATGAAATATTAAGCTGCTGTTATCCTTCTGTCTTTCTCTCTTACACACAGTAAGGACTCAGCAACATCGACTCTGGTACAATTTGTACCATTACATCAAAACAGAATTACTTCAAGGATATCTAAGTGACATATTTGGCTTCCTGGGGCTGTGGACACTGAAGCAGTTTTCTTTCTCTTTTGCATAATTTCAACCCCCACAGCTAAATTGGTGACTCTGTGTATGTGCATGTGTGCCTGTTTGTTTTGTTTGGGAGACAGTGCATGCTGCTCTTCTTTTATGAGACGTATCTTATTCATCATGCGACAAAATAAAATGCAAACGGGAGCACAGGTTAATCTAATATTTTCATAATGTGTGCAATGTAGAGGGAAATACAGCATTGTCTTTGTGTCGTCTTTACTGAGTCAGCACCTTGTCAAAGTTTTTTTTCTGTTCGGGTCAGTCACAATGTAATTTTCTATTTTTTCAAGCTGGTAAAACCCAGATAAGTTTTAAATGTATTTGGAAATGTTATCACCTCATAACAGAGAATCTGAAATGTTCCCTTCTGTTTAGTAATTTCCTGTTATGCTCAATCTACATCCAGGGTTATGTTGTTTGGTCAGTTTAATTAAATTTAAATTAACTTCCCACAAACCAACATCTGACAACATTTTTGTAATATATTTAGGGCTGTCTAAATTAATTGCATACATAATTTTTTGCATGCAATGATGCACTGGGTCAAAGGGCACCACAGAATGTGATTAATCATTAATTTTCTTAATGCCTTATGTTTTCTCTGATTAATTTATTGAAATGAATGTGTTATTTTGACAGCCCTGAATATATTCTGGCTTTACGTTAAACCATCTTAAAACACAAGAACCACATCATCTGCAAAGAGGAGGAGTCTCATTTCTTCATGTAGGAGTTTTGGAACTGGCGCACTGGGCTTCTCTCATTTATAGGCAAGTTCATTATCAACTCGGGGCTAAGACAGCCTTATCTCACTCCACATCTCTGTTTCTCTCTTTGTCTTTTCCTCTCCTTGTTTCTCTCTGTATGTGTATGTATGAGGCCATACGGTGGCTTACATCCTGAGGGCGCTATGCAGTCTGTGTATTCTAACAAATTACAATTTCTGTATTCTTGCTACAGGCAACAGCTGACTGATACACCATATGACAACTCAACACAAACTCTCACAAGAGAGCAAAGAGAGAGGAGCAGAGGGAGGAAAGGGAAGAAAGATGTAAACAGAAGGAGAGAGGGAAAAGGACAGAAAGAAGGATCATGTTTGAGCTAAGTGAGCTGAGCATGTTTGAAGATTTCATGTGTGCTTGCTGGAGGCAGTGCTGGTCACCATATGGATGTGGAGAACAGCACTTGCAAAGCAGGGTGGGTGTACTTTATCTGTTTGGGGGAAATTAAAAATTGATTGCAACTTCTAAGTCTACTGAAGGAATTGTTTCACTCATCTCTGCTTTGTCTATACTCAAGGAAAAGAACTTAAACCTGATCCTACTCTCACCAAAGTGTTTCTTCCCACAAATCTAATCTAGATTTGAGCATGGTATTGCAGAGGCAATTTTCTGGGCCCATTTGTGCTACTTCCAGCCCAGACGGAAATGAAAAAAAAAACAAAAAAACAAATACTGCAGGGGCGTAATTAACAGGGGGACATAGAGGACATGTCTATTGCACTTTTTCAAAAGGCAGCATTGGACCACTCCATTTTTAGTCCAAAAACTAGTGTTACATTAAAAAAGGGGAAACTTAAAATTAAAAATTGATTTCTGATATATTTCCAAAAGTATGAAAGAGACAAAAAACATCATTTTTTTTTACATATCAACATGAAAACAATTAAATTTACTTGCCACTTTTCACATTTTACTTTATTGCACCACCTTCATTGTTTTTGTGCGAATTTTCTTAATCAATGTGATGGCCTGACCTGTGCCAACATACTATCGTATATTACCTTAAGTAACTTTCTGTTAAAAGGTGTCTGTGTGAAATTTCTGCCTATGACAACTGGGATTTGGAAGAAGAGGATAAAAAGGAGCTGAGAGGCAGAGTGTGGGAAACACATCGAGACACATAGCGACACATGCCTGCAGCAGCAGCACTGGAGTAGTGGGGGAATGGCTTTCTTCCCATTTGGTTCCCAGCATGAATTAGATAGTTGTGCTTTGTTGTTTTAGTTTGGGTTGGAGATTACCTTTAGATCAGTTTTCTGATTTTGTTTGGTTAAGTTTAGTTTCAGTTTAGGTAGTTAGGGGGTTGAGCTGGGTCTGACAATCCACTGCGTAATTGGCCCAGCGACTTCCCCATCTTTTCTTTTTTTGGCTGTGATCTCCCACCCCTTTTGTTTCATCCTTTGAGTTGTAAGTATTGTTTTATGCTTTTTAAAAATAAAGCTCTGTTTGTCCTTTCCCCTGCAAACTGTGTCTGGCATTCATTCATATGTTCCGGTCTCTAGTTGTGCCTTTGTATGTTTAAAGAGGCCATAACAACAACTGCGTATTTAAAAGCCTCTAGACTCGAGTTTTATAACCATCTCCAGAGTGGTTCTATTGTTGTTCTACCCTTTGTAGGGGTAAGCTATCAAAGCCCTTCTGATTTGTGTCTGCATTGTGTCTTCCCTTCACACTTTTAAAATCAAAATTCCGCCCCGGAAATATTGTATCACAAGACCAAATTCCTTACGTTCTGATGTCCTCTCCCAAGAAGCAGCGGTTGCGCAGCAGCCCCGCCCATAGCTGGACTCCAACAATCCCGAAGATGAAAAAGACAAAGAAGCAGAGAAGAAGGACATTTCCCAGCATGGGTAGGGTGTCCAACAGCAGTGTCACCAAGATCCGCATACCTACATAGAGGGACACATAAAAAGTAAACATGAGTTTTGCATGCGGTGCAGAAGCTAACCTTTTACTTGCCCACTGCTTACCGTACACCCTGACAACCTCTATTGATCTTGTGATCTTGGAACCCATAACTTCATCCCGACAGCCAATATAATTACAAGTGATGACAATACTGAAAGTGACAGCTTGACATTATTTCATCCTCTGGGATTTGAACTCACAGCTTCCCTGTGGCTAGTATTATCTAACCACATGCATTCAGCATCCATCTCCAGTTGTCAGATGTGTTTAGCGTCAGCAAAGTCAGGGATCTAGTCTCTGAGGTCCCTCACAATGTGTTCTGGCCCCTTTCACATGTATCACAGCCTTGTCACAATGACCACACTTACAGTACGGTAAACTCCACAGTGTCTCGACTAATTTTGACAGTGGCAATGCTATGCAAACTTATATCTCCTCGAGTCCCCAAAATCTAATCTCCAGACTGTTTGTGCTGTGCCACTGCAGGAGAAAGTTTTCTCTGAATCCATTATTGTTTGGTGAAAAACAAAAACAAATGCTTTGGTTTGCTGTGGAGTTTCACAGTCATCAGGATGGGCCTAAACTGCACTGAGCTCACAAGAGTTCTTATTAAAGTCTGTGCCAGAAGCTAAACATTATTAAAACTATCATCACTGTTAAATTCATTTCCACTAATTCAGAATGAAATCAAACTTGTACAACTGTCCAGAAGATTATGATTCATTATTTATGCATGTTTGAAAGCACTAATGAGCAAAATGTGGATATCATTCTATCCCCATGTTGTTTACAAGTATAGGAAGTGTCCTGGCAGTGGATTTTTGATGTTGTTACTCTGTGAAGTACTAACTGTCCCCGCTCAGAGAGAATGACTCATCAGCATTTAGGGTGCGTCGTCCTATCTGTGTTTATCCGTGTGTGCTTCTGTGTACACTCATTAGACATAAAGTTGCAGTACAGAACATATTTTCTCCACAGTCCCACAGCATGAAATCTCCTGTGATGGGTTTTGCTTTAGTCTTACATTGTATATTGTTATGTTCGCATTACAGGGCTTAGTGTTCAATTCAGATTATCTCCCCAGATCCAATCATTTTGCCTCGACTGTTCACATTCATGTTTGAACTGTTCCCTATCTGACATCAGTGTGAACTGATCTCTGCCCTGAAACGTGTCACATGCAACCGATAATGTCACTCACATTGCGGCAGTAGCTCAGTCTATAGGGACTGGGGTTGGGAACCAGAGGGTTGCTGGCTCAAGTCCCCGTCCAGACCAAACATGAGTGTAGACTGGTAGCTCGAGAGGTGCCAGCTCACCTCCTGGGCACTGCTGAGTTGCCCGTGAGCAAGGCAGAACCCCCAAACTGCTTGGGGCGCCTGTCCATGGGCAGCCCTCTCGCTCTGACATCATGTATAGGTCCTGTTTGTGCATGTGTGTGTGTATTTCGGGCCTGTGTGTATATGACAACAGAATGAAAAAACTGAATATCCACTCAGGGATGAATAAAGTATATATTCTTCTTCTTAAAACAGGCATTTGAGGAAAAAATAAATGTATGAGCAAGCCTTCATCTCTTGCTGCGGAGGTCCAATGACATTTCGTCATGATGAGGAGAGGACTGCCCACTGTTCCAAAGGACCATTTCGCCAATGGCAACAGAAGCACATGGCTAATCAATATGCAGAATGACATCATCAGACTTCTGTTTACCAGGCTGTTGTAAAATGGGACATTTTTCAGACTGCTGAGGCTGCAGGTTGATGAGCCATTGCAACAATGGCTTGAAGGCTGGACGGCAAAGGAACACAGAGGTACTAGCTCTATTACCAGCTATTGTTGTTAGCTTTGTGGAGAGGAAGGTGTGGGTGGGGCTGCCATGTGGAGGGTTTCACAGAGGAACAGTCCCTCCAAACCTTAGGATGTCCATGGCTACATTCCAATATCTCTGTCGGCACCTCACGACAACGCTGTCAGGGCATGAAGGCAAGCTGTCCCTGACAGAAAGCGTCTGGCAGTTGGGCTCTTCTGGCTGGCGACTAGTGCAGTCTACCACAGCACTGGTATGGTTAGATATGTTAAGTATGACATGGAAAAAACCATGGATGTATTGGGAAACACACACATGAATTTCAATATGACCCTCCTCACACATGGCCAGTGATCAGATATGTATCAGATTTAGAACCACATATGAAAGTGGCCAAAATCTGATTAAAAAAAACCTCTGAAAAATTCCTATCTGTGTTATATGACAGCAAAGAAATCAGACCTGGGCTACATTTGCTTGTAATGTGAATGCAATGTCTGGGATGGCAAAAGTAAGAAAAAGTCTACTCTACATTCATCCATCATTCATCAGCCCATCCAGTCAACCATCCATCTTTCCTGACCACAGACCAGCTGCACATCTAGAGCTGCATTGTGCTATAATGTGTTTTTTGTGAGATATGTGACAGCCAGGCAGGTGAGGGTCAATCCATCAAAACAGAGCTCTAATGAGATGTGGTCATGGCTTTGGGGCGGAATAGAAATCGATAAAATCGCCCAGTTTAAATCATTGTGTCATCACCAATCTGTCTCGTTTCATCTCGCCTGAGATCTTCTACTCTCAACACACCTGCCTTTTCATACCTGTCAACAAGCTATTTGACTTGTTGTTTCCCATTTCTCACAAAACAGAAGTTATACACATGGAAAATGAGAAAACCTAACACACACTCTAATGATACACATTTCTCATCATAAAACTGAAAAACAAAGTAACGTCTGTTTGCATGCTTGAGGTGGATAGCGATACTCCAGAGACATTAAAATATCGCCGTCTACTTGTGTGAATACAGCACATGGAAATGTACACACATACACACTGAGTAAACAGCACACAGATACCTTACTATAGAGGCATCTGTGTGCTGTGAAATCTGCTCAAACGCAAACATCTCACAGCATTGACATCCCCTAAGCAGAATGCTAATGGTTTCTCTATACAACATTTGGGTGCAGACATGTGATTCAGCAATACCCCGAATTTCACTTCTTAAAACAGACGGGGTTAGAAAACACAAGAAGATTTAAATCTGGATTGACAAGGTGTGTACTCCCAGAGCTGCAAAGCGCTCCGGTAGGTTTAATTAAACTAATGCAATCTAATGGCACACAAGTGGCAGCTTGGATGAGACCACCTGAAATTGGGAAGGACAATATCCAGAAAGTCATGCCACAGGGAAAAGTTAAGTTTCCTGAGGCCTGAACTTCTGGAGAAAACAAAATTCTACCAGGCAATAAACATTATTTTAGCTCGTGAGAAGTGATGAGGGGAAAGTTGTTAAGAAGAGACAAAATGAAATATAATTAAATACTGGAAGATTTTGGAAATACTCAAATAATTCAGAATGTGTTTTTGTTTGTTTCCTTTGATATGTTATGGAAAGGAGCAGGATTGTAGACTTGTAGATTGTAGAAGATGCAATAAAGTCATAAAGTTGCTTTTTATATTAGATCTGGGAGGAATGAAATATGCTAATGTGAAATCATTGTCACTGGTAAACAAGCAAACACCTATGATGAGTGAGTGGCTTTCCACAATTTTCTTACTCATCACACTGACTGGAAATAAAGCAAACTTTGCAATAATGGTTGTGACTAAAACTAAAATTTGCATTATCTGGGTTACATTGCTTTTTGTAGACTAAACATTTAAAGGGATACTTTGCCCATTTTCGACCGGCTTTGCATCATAATAATGTGGGTTTTATGCGTAACTGAACTGTGGTAAACTTCCCTCCATCTTATCAGCGCTTATTCAGCAGATTTGACTGGTTCTAGGACCACAGATTGTACTTCCACTTTCTTGTTTGCCCGCCACCAGGGGCACAAAGAGTACAGAAGCGGATCAAGAGACAGATCTGCCCCTCTCTCTTTCTCTCAAACTCAAATCAAACTGTAAAACTAGGCAGCACTGATCAACTCAAAACAAAGATTATGTTACTGCAGTGCCTATTTTTGCTAAAACGTCTTCAGAATTTTTTTTTTTTTTTTTCATGCACTGTAACACTGCTGTAACATGAGAATTTGTGGAAAGGAAGTGAGTACCATACTGTGTAAAAACTGAATTCAAACAGTAAAACTAAGCACTACTGTTTAAATATTAACTAAGATTTTGGTACTGCAATGCCTATCTCGCCTAAAATGTCTTAAGAATCTAATTTTAGTGCACTGTTTAGCTGTAATATGAGAATTTGTAGACAGGAAGTGGGTGAGATACTATTTCCTGTATTGTAAAACTAGAGGGTGTTAAAAAAGACTCTCTTACTGCATTACCTATTCCTCGCCTAAAATGTTTTCAGAAACATATTTTAGCTTACTGTTTAACTGGAATACGAGATTGTTTGTTTCCTGTGTCATAACGACCAAGCTTGCATTATGCCACCCACCAGCAAGAGAGTTTATTGGTGCAGTGCAGTGCATTCTGGTAGTTGTAGGGTGTGTGACTATTGAACAAAGGCAAATGCCACAGCCCTTTTTCTTCTATTTTCTTTGGTCACAAAGCATTAATTTCAAAAGGATTTGTGTCTTTCTGTTGCACAGAACTAAAATACTGTTTAGTGGAGGGTCAATATGGAGAAGTGGTAAATAAATACTATAATTACAATTTGGAGAAAGACACCTTCAACAAATAACTTAAATATGACATATATCAACAAGTATTTCATATTTGTAACACAAACATATCCAGTACTTTAAAGAATCAATCCCAAACAGACACAATGAGCTGTCTCCAGTGCTAGATTAAAATTATTGCTAACTGTAAACTGGATTACTCATGCCTCAGCAATGACTGCCTTTAACAAACACCATTTCCCATAAACCCTTGATGTTCCCAGGCTGAAGAGGCGGGTCCATAAGCAGGTTGAGGGGTCACAGCTATCTCAGACATGTCTATAATAACAGCGGAACAGAGATTAAAGCTATAAATCAGGAAAAAAAGAAATTAGAAGCAGACATTGTTGAGTTTTATGGAAGGGTTAGTAGCACCCATGTGGCTATACGTGTAGTTTTATTCATGGGAGCTGTAGTTTTTCCTGTGCTCACAGAGTACTTGTTGTTGAGAACAGAGAGTTCTGCTCACTGTTTCCAGGTTACAGCATAAAAACATGTTTAATATCTGTCTGACACTGAACGCTTCCCATCCACTTAGGGCAAAGAGACAAACAGAGAGATGGAGTGATAGCAGAACGCTTTGAGACAAACAGACGGTAAGTAGGGAGAGAAAAACTTCAGCCTGGCTACTAGCCCGGCTGGCTTGCGCCCACAAACACTCTACATCATCTCTGATCACAACTCAGATGGAAGACAAAACAAAAGATGAGATGGAGTCTGACAGAGATAAAAAGAGAGGGAAAAATGAAGGAAGGAAGCTGATGTTACACATCCTCTGGGTGTTTGTGTGTACCTGTGAGAATATGAGTCTGTGGGCTTTGGGGTATGTTTGTGTCTTTTTGTATCCACACTGACCTTGAGTTTTCAGCTCCGAGTAATACCTCTCATTGTAATTCTCTCCCTCTTTCTTCTCTCCATCTACCGCCCAGTGTCAGACCCTTCAGGGTGCGACTGGAAACTTGTTACAATAACATAAGTTTCACTTCACCTTGTCCGTGCTTGTAAAGATTGCTTCTCGGGGCTACTGTTAGCTTAGCGATGAGGTTAAGGTTAATGTTAAATTCTTCAGTCCTCACAGAGGTAGAACAACACAGCGAATGTGTGTGTGTGCGTCCCTGTGCGTGAGACTGTTTGTGATGATAGCTTGAGAGAAACAGACAACCTGCCATGCTTTATGATTGTGTTTTGGTTATCTGCAGTGCCCAAAGCACCCACACACAGACTGAAACGATACACACACACGCTTGTACAAACATATAACGTCATCATTTACGTGGAAGAATCCTGGGTCATTCTGTGTCACATGCGAACAACTGGCTTATTCTAGGGAAGCAGGGTCATCATTCAAGCACACACACACACACACACACACACACACACACATACACACACATACCACAGTCTTTCAGCTTGCTGCCGCCAGACTGCAAGCAGACATCCATAACCCTGACAACATACTTAGTCACTGTAGCACAAATACCTGCCATGTTCCAATAATATTCCCATGGGTTCTTTAGTGTTGTAAGAATTGATTATTTTTCCAAATAAACTGTGTTTCATGAACAATAAAATTGGTTTACTCTGTAATAATACTTAACAGGTTGACATCAGACTGAGACAGCTGTTTACAAGAAGAAGAAAAATTTAAAACTCAGTGTGTAAACCTGATCAAGCGAGGACTATTGAACAAAATGGCTACCCACACTGGCAGACTGAAGCTGAAAAACAGCTTGGCCGCTTGCCTAATGTATGCTGGTTAATAATCTAGTACGTTGTTATGACACCATTGTCCCGTGATCCTCTTTAGCTGTAGATTCATGGCCGCTTCTGTCACAGAGCTTTTAGGAAAATGACAAACTATGTGCAAGTTCTCACTCAGCACTGGCGCGGCACAACCTCTGGAAGTGGGATTAAAGCAAACAAGAAGTCACGGATCATCGGTCAACTCAGCGTTAAGTAGTAGGAATACAGACATCAAAATATTTAATTTTTTTCCATGCCATTTTGGTTTTGTGGTGCTCAGTGCAAACTTGATGAATGAAAACAGGTGGCTAACATTACGTAGCACAGTTTTACAATAATCACAGGTGAAATGAGTACATCTCAGGGCATTTAGTGTAGGATACTGAAAAAATGTAAATGTAATATCAAATCTTTAAGTTAAACTACCTGTGCTAAGTGTTTATACTACAATAAGATATTGTCACTATTGGGAAAGGAAGCATTCTGTGGCAGACAATTATGCAGAGTTGCTCACAAAAACTTATATAAACAATATAAAACAAAAAAAATCTCTGAAGTGTTTTCATATATTTAGTATTTATGAGTATAGACAACATATGAAATGTGGCTCAGACGTAGACCGGGTCATCCACCAATCGAAAGATCAGCGGTTCGATCCCGGGCTCCTCCAGGCTGCATGTCGAAGTATCCTTGAGCAAGATACTGAGCCCCAAATTGCTCCCGATGGCTGTTCCATCAGTGTGTGAGTGTGTTAAAACTGAGTAGCAGGCACATTGTATGGTAGCCTCAGCCACCAGTGTATGAATGTGTGTGTGAATGGGTGAACGTGACTCGTAGTGTAAAAAAAAAAAAAAACAACTCTTTGAGTGGTCACTAGATGACTAGAAAGGCGCTATACAAATGCAGGTCCATATGAAAGAGCTTTTGTTCTTATCTTTATCACCTTATCATTGACTTTTCTGCTTCTTGCCAGCTAAATTCATTTATTCATAGAGATATGCACAAAAACAAGATTAGATCAAAACCCAATATACGGCTTTAAATCTGAATATTAGCTTTTTAATTTGAAACAGGAAGTGAGGGCATTTACTCAGTCACGGATTTTTCGCTTACAGTGCTTGACTTGCTGTTGCAGTCCAGGCTAAAAATTAATGTGAAGACATCTTAACATGACGAACAATACACTTAGACACACTCCCACAGCAGAGGGGACCTGCTTTCTCTGAAGCTGTGACTTTACCTACTGATCGAGCTGCTTTTTGCTCGATTTAAGACAATCCATGACATTTTGCGTTGCATAAGTTTGCCTAGCAGCTAGCGGTCTTTTTCTCTATTTATATGAAACTGGGAACAACATCAACTTTTTAAAAAGTTACAAAATTCAGCTCCATTATAACTCACAAGGTTCACTGCCAAAACAATTGTCTTAGCTAGACACGTTTTCCCACATATACAACATACTAATGTCATTATCATAAGCCTATGGCATTTCACATTGCATTAATTAGCCTTGTGGCTAGCAGAGTTTTCCTCTACTCAAAGACTTCAAATGCTATTTTGGGGGGCTTTTTTAACTTGTTTCTTATCTGTGAAATAAAAGTGAATAACAGCTTCATTTCCAATGAGGGAAATGGTTTTCAGTTTGCAAAAATAAACAGGAGGTCGGCATCAACTCCCCACAGCCCTGACGGTGCCAGTCTATGGCCAGCGCCTAGTCATTTCAAAGGATCAGCGGTCAGTGGGAAAACACACTCACGTCATCAATCACTCTGACCAGTGGCATAACTTCATCACTGACTCACTCATGGACAGACTTTTGCATTTATAGGGCTAGCTTGCATTCCACTGTTCAGCCATCAACTGTCAAGGCTTTGGCAAGCAGGTTCAGTGAATCACCGTGGTGTGCTTAACTGTTAACATTGACTAAAAGAGCAAATGAGTGCAGGTGCTCATTGCTAATCAAGGAAGGTAAACCATCAGAGCATTCACCTGAGACGTATCCCTGCAGTTATGTAAATATGGACTTACTTGGTACTCTGTTGATGGCCCTCAGTGGCCTGAGCACTCGGACGGTACGGATGGCTGACAGACTGGCGTTATGGCCATCCAGAGAATACTCCATTACCCTGGAGGCACAGTTGGAGAAAGGCAGGAAGAGAGAGTTTTGCTTCATGTTCTGCACTCACAGTAATAGCTACACAAAGTAAACACCAAAAATATTATAATGCTCATAATAGCAGCCGCCCATTATAATTATAATTATAATTACATTATAATTACTGTACATGTGACATTTAATTACATACAGTCAAAAGCTCTTTCCTCTCTGTGTAGTTTATATTGTAGCACCCAACATCATCATTGTGACAAGTAGGCAGAGAACTATGGTCCTAATTGTGTCAGTCACTTGTGCTCTGTGATTGTGCTGGCTGTGTGAGGAGTGTGTGTGTGGTCATACTGGCTCGGCCCTTGGAGCGTGGGAGTAGCTCAAGGAATGTCTGCTGCTGATTGGGTCCTGCCCTCGCCCTCAACATATGTAGTGGCCCCAGACTTTAGTCTGGGAGCGCAGCATGTGCTCCTCCAGTCTCCAAATTATAAGTCTTGGTTACTGATAGGTGCATTTTGAGGCTGCACAGATTGGTAAATATAGTACCAAATGTTGCTTATCTCTGAAGTGGAGCTTAACTGAATGGTATGGTGCCATTTAAGACAAGATTTACGATAAATGGTGACTGCAGCTGCTGTAGATGTTGTACATAACCACATTGTTGCATCCTTACTCCTCTAGATTACAGGGTGACAGAGAGAAAACACAGCGCTCCTATATTAAGGACACTTCTATTTTGATAATGATAGACATTGTGAGGACAAACACATACATAAACACGCCCACAGGTACAAACACATGTACCTGCATCATGCATCTTTGTCATGCATAAGCTGTGGGTAGTGTATTTATTCCTGAGGCAGAAAGCTGTATGTTTGTGTGCATTCTTGTTTGTGTGAGACTGCACTGATTGTTTACTTCGTGCTCAGTGAAATGTTATCTTATTCAAAGCAGACTGCTATTGTCTGGCTGCAGATAACAGACAAAACGGAGCAACTTGTGGGCGTGAGCATAAAGCATTGTGGGATACTAACCCCGCCATGACGATGACAAAGTCAAGCTGGTTCCACTTGTCACCGAGGTAACAATTGGAGCCAAAAATCCCCAGGGCCACCATCTTGATGACCATTTCCACAGCAAAGAAAGCAAAGATACAGTCGTCCAATACCTGAGGAAACATGGTGAGAAAAACAAACACACAGACAGAATGAATGTTTAACAACAACAAGAGGAAATTGACTTCTTGCTGACAGAAAAAGGTCAAGTCTTGTTAAGTGTCCTCGTCAATATGGACCCCCATTTGGACTGTAGCTTTGAAAGTGCCAGTGGAGGTTGTCTGAAAATAAATTCTTGTCTCCATTAGTTAGTTTTATCCCAGCAGGGAATATCTCTGGCTTAGTATGGTTATGGCTGTGTCTCAATTAATTAGACATCTACCACAGCAAAAAGAATGTCTGTTTTTGAATATAATGAGCACATCTCAGTGCACCAAGAATCAACATTACTCTGCAGCGCGAGAGCATGTTGAAGCAAACCAGACAAGTGAGACAAGGAAACGAATGAAATAAGTTTTCATTACCATTTGTTTACAAATTGAGCCTATTATTGTTATTGCTCTTCCTGTCATTTCACAGCAATATAGAGCCGAACATGAAAGCAATGCCTGTTGCAAAAGAAACATTTCATTTTCCTAAATGCTCTTAACATTAGTGATGGTGAATTATACACAATGTTCACTAAAGTAATGACTTAGCTGGTGAAATAAAAATCCAAACAAGGCACATGACTTTACAGCGAGAGATGCTTATGTAGAAGAACGAAGGTTACAATATTCTAACCCTAGTTCTATGGAGTGGTGCAGGAATGAGTCCTAAAACCAAAAAATGAGTTAGCACTTCAGCACTCCCAGTTCCCTAGTCTCTAAGTAAATGTTTTTTTGGTTAGATACCTGAAATAAGGTCTGTGGTTAGCACAAGCTTCAGAGATTTTCACATTTTGTTCTGCGACATAAAATACGCCAGTAAATACTCTACTTGTACATTTGGAGGCCTTTGCCTAACTGAAAAAAGACAGTTGCTAACAAGTGGCTTACTGAGACTAAAGAACTTCATCACACCAAACACGGCTTTACAGCCTCGCTGCGAGGGTGATGTTCATGTGACCATAGTGTACTTGGTTCATAGCCTAACATTAGCTTTTCACTTCTGGCGATTGCATTTATGCTTCAAACATCATAAAAGTGGTATAATTTTGTGGAGGCTATGCTAACTTCCATGTTGGCCTACAAACATTCTCAGAACCCATCGGCACAGCCTCTGAGGGCAGAACCACGATTTTTTGGCACTCCGGTTTGATTTGGGCGGAGGAGGTGAATTTCCGTTTCCAACTTCTGTTTATATATAAGTAAATATGCTGAACCATTGCGATGGATTCAGAGTTTGCAGTGACACCAATTATGTTCCGCCTCGTTAGTTCACCGCACAGACCATTTAACCTGGCAACAACTGCAGCCGGCTCAAACGTGATTGGTCAATATCACGCAGACTACAAACAGCCTACAACCGGAAACCAGGGCTCTTCCGCTCTTCTTCCGGAGGCAAGATCTCCGGGGTTTGCCTACAGACTCTACATTCACTGAATGTAGAGTCTGTATATAGAGACTAATGTTTTTATAATATATACAGACTCTACATTCACTGAATGTAGAGTCTGTATATAGAGACTAGCCTACAAATAAATGTCATCCCTGCAGGCCTCTATTAGCAGAGGTGGAGCCCTCTACTGGATACTGTGGGTAATACTCTCCCCATGAGCATGCATTTGCCCATTGAAATTTGCATAAACATAGCCTGCCAATCAGGATGTGCCTACCCAAATACATGTGGACCCCACCACATATAAGGCTGCACACGATGCTGCCGCCATCCTACACCCTCTTCAGCGAGCAGCATAGGAGCAACAGGGCCACTAGATAGAAGGATCAGCCTTAGCTTACAGAACAAATTTAAAATATCATAAGCTTTGTTCCATCTCACACAGGCTCCACCCTTTGCTTAACTGTATGGGTACAGTGGGAGGAGCTTGATGACTGAACGCACTATTTGGACAGAACACTGACCCAGCTACACTGATCCTGAGTGGTTAAAGGTTAGTCGTCGCAGCCCGCCTACTTCTTTATAACCTAGGCTGCTGCAGTGGAGAAGTAGGAAGACCCAGTCAACACAGGTAGTATGCAACCAAACTGGGTGGACCCATGGCCGAAGCTTGCAGGGGTCAACAGACAAGCAGTAGACGCACTGCACACCACATTCCCCAGGTCATGAAGGAGCATAGGAACATGTAGGTGTATCATGCCCAGAAGGGAGGCAGGTGCAACACAGCTGACACGCACCCCACCCTTTTCACCTGCCCTGTGTTGTCCAGTGGGCAAATTGTTGTTACTGAAAAAGAAAAAGGATAGTGGACGGCATTGTGTGCTGCCATATATACTGTGGGGCCCACTTGTATTCAGGCTGATTAGCTGATTACATTTATGCAAATTTCAGTGGGGGAACAAGTGCTCGTGACTGGATGACAGAATTACATTTAGTCCAGTAGAGGGTGGAGCTTGTGTGAGATAGAACATCAAATATGTCACCAAAGTAAGCAACACCTTTTCCCAAGGCCATTTCTATCTTATATAAATCTGCTGTTACAGGCAGCACTGAGGTAGACAGTGAGAATGTTATGTCAGGTGTTTCTATGCAAAGAGAACACACAAAACATGCCATGTCATAATGTCTTCATGGGCCCAGTTATCATAAGGATGAGGCAGTTACACTGACCTGTAGGATGCGGCACCACTCTGACTGGCAGCTGACATCTTCACAGGGCTGGAACATCCCCAGAGTCACGCAGTTGAGCAGGATCACAAGCATGGACACATGCTCGAACCATGTGCAGGAAGAGGTTAAGGCCAAAACACATACTTCACAGAAACTTCACAGAAAAGCAAGAGCTAAAGCAGTAAGAAAATGCAAACAAAAATGTTATCAGTCTCCTTTTAAATAATGTTAAGGTTGCATCAATAAGGCTGTGGGCAGCTTTCTCTGTAACACTGCCTCCAGTGCTGACCACAGGTGCATCCAGGCCAGGCATGATCAGGTGCAAGCCACACACAGGAGCAACATGATCCAAACAACCCTGCTGACCTGTTGCATGGTGGGAGAAGCCATGACACTCAGCTCATAAACAACAATGACAGATATGAAATACAGTATATGAGCATATGTTAAAAGTACTAAAATCCCAGAAAAAGACCAAACATGATTCAGTATAAGAGCATGTGTGTAAACAAACACCCCGCCAACACACTGGAACCGGATGCCAAGGAAGTTTTGTGCGAGTCTAATGCACATAATGGGTCTAATGATGACCCAGTGGGCCTGGCTGTTAATCTGTTTACAAGACTATTCACTGTTTCACAAACAAACTTTTTAATGGGTCCATGTCTACTGTACATCCTGTTGCATCATTTGTAAATATAAATTAATGACATGAAGCAAATCCCAGGGAAAAGATGTCTATCACAACTAGGGATGGGGATTTTATAATCCTGTGACACATAATTCCAAGATCTAGTGCGACAATAATTATTCGTGCAACTCTTTGATGGGTCTTAAGTTTTGTTTTGGGAGTCATACTTTCTTGCCACAAGGACAAAGCACAATCTCGAGGGTATAACAAATGTCAGATGTCACCTCCTGACCTGACTGAAATAGCACTTGTGAGTAATCTTTTGTTGATTTCCTTTTGCTTGTGTTATCCTTTCTTTATCCTTTAAGGACTCACTGTAAGATTATCTATTTAGGACAAAGCAGTAAGTTACAGAGGGCACAGTCAACAGTGGATTTTTCTTTCCTGTATTTCAGTTCCTGTTCAAGTTGTAAGAGCTTCAAATGTAATCCATCTACGAGGGATGGAGTCTTAACAGAGTGGCCACATTGGTGCCTCACTGTATCGGCAGACATTTGATGGAGAGTTGTAATCTGTCTGGGTTTGCTTAAGAGTTCCTCTGATGTGCTTTGAGCGCTGCAACATGGACGGCAACTAAAACTGCACCTTTGTGTCGACTAAATGAAAGATGACAAATCTGAAAAGCCATAGTCTTTGCCTTTTCAATTTTCATTACAAGAGATAAAGTGAGACATGAGAACAAACATGGACGACCATATAGAATAGATCAGTGTAGTCACACTCTCTGCTGGCAGATTCATTAATCCGTCGTAGCAGCACAACATGATGCGGCACCATAAATCAAACCAGTCTATAAAAACACAGGTCGACTAATAAAATACATACATGGCCAGTTCATCACAGTGCTTCTGCAGCTGCAATACAGTTAGAAGATGCGCCTTTATCACACTGAGAAAAAACAATAATCAGAGTACCAAGAAAGCGTGAGTGAGAGGCTGGAGGGGGGGAAAGTGACAAAGAGCGGGAAGCAGCTTTAAATCATGTCTCTTCAAGTTGAAAAAAGCCACCGATGCTGCTGTTTATCTACTTAAGTTTGGCTTTTGTCCCAGAAACACACACATGCAGCGATCTGGTGTGTGCACCGAGTTGCAGTATTGAAGTATTCCCAGGGTGAAGTACTGTTCTAATTAGAAAGGGAGTAAAAGCAGGAAACAAATGGTGACTACTGTCTTCTACATTGCTCACACACACTCACAAAATACACACAAATGCAGGCATATATACATTGCAGCCAAATTAAGTTTATGTCGCACAAACGCACACACACAAGGACAATTGGGACTCGCTGCTGTCTGTGAGCAGGGACCGAGACAGAAGTTTGTATCAGCGAAAAAGTCAGACCTAAAACTTTTCTTTTCCTCCAGCGGCTGTTAGTGTAAGAGGTAACTGTGGTCTTCTATAGCCATGGATATAACCTTTAATTTAGCCAGTCTCATGTGTTAAACTCTCTGGTTAGACGTCACAAGGCGATAATAGTGCACAGTATTAGTACTGAACATTTTAGACTGCACAAGAAAAACATGAGGATTCCATGACAGATTGCTTCTCGAGACAATTTACCTCCTTGTAGTCAATGAATCATTTGTACAATGTCATACAACAACACATTGAACATGCAATTCAACATGTTATATAAAAAAGTCCTTCTTTAAGTTTTTTTGCTCATCATTATGAAGTACATCTTGACTGCCAATGTACGATCTCCTGGGAAAATGAAGGCTCAAAGGAACTGTGCCAAAGACTGCGCAACCAAAACAGGAAGAGGACAGCTACTGGTAATTATCCCCAGTTAAAGCATACAAAGAGTATCAGTGTAAGTTCTTTGCAGTTACCCCCAGCAGCGGAGATGGCGGATGGTAAAACAACTGAAGTAACTGTGGAAAACAAAATGCGGCATGTCCTGTGTTGTTGGTTGCTAGGCTCTGAGGCAAACGGAAAGTGATCAGGGCGTCTTTACAACAGTGGTGCCAACAGTAAAAACACTTGGGATGATTGAAAGTTGTCTGTTTCCCCTTTACGTTTACAATTTGGTATAATCAGATGGAAAGATTAAGTAGGGTAAACGCATCTTGACTTTGTCAGTATATGTAGTGTTAGTTGTGGAACAGTTGGTTTGTGACTTCAGACATCACAAGATGTGATTAAAAAACAATTCAAAAAGCAATTAGGCAATCAGGACTGAATACATATAAAACAAACACTGCTTAAAGTAAAGACCCTTTTAGAGCCAACGTCACAATGATGGCAGTTTGTTAGCTTAGCTTAAAATGTCGTCCTCTTGTGTTGTTGGGAGCCAGAACAGAAGGAGTCATGGCTCAAAACAAAGACAACTATGGTTAAATGCAATAAGACCAAAGGACTAGACAGAAGTTGATTAACAAAAATGCTCACATGTGCAGCGCACACTTCATATCAGGTCAGGGAAAAAGTATTTCCTGTTGTAGGGATGAATAACGTTATGTGTATTAAGGGTCATCATGTCCACCTCATCAGAAACTGGGGAGGTATTAAGAGGAATATTGAATTTCTCCGTAATGCTAACTTTTTAGCACATTAGCTAATGTTAGGTCAGTGTTTATTTATTCAAGTAGCATTTGTGGTCCCACAGAGTGAGTGACATGACATGGTGCATTTGTAAATTCAGTCTGATGCTCCACAGGAAAATGAGTGTCCTGTTGGTCAAAGAAATCAAATGTTATATTTCTATATAGATTAAAAACGGAACGTCATACTGTTTACTGACAGTAAAAGGGTCTAAATAAGTATCGAACACCCAATTTTTTAGGGTCATGAAGGCTCATGTGCAATTCTAAGGGGTCATACAGTAGCACAAAGACTATCAAAGAGCACTCATATCTGAATACATTCATAAGGCTGGGTTAAACAGCAATGTTGATACAACCATCAGGATATGGACTGAGAGGGTTAATTTTATCAACTAGAGTGCCCATCATCAATTGTTTATGTCCTTGTTAACTGGGGAAAAAAACAGTGGCAGGGAGCCCTTTGAAAATTGATTGGTTGAACATCTCGATCAGAATGCAGTGGCAATCCGCAAGCAATTTCCTAAATATGCGTTTTGCATTTTTGAACAAATATGTGATATAAAAATAGCATATTCTGTTTGTTCTGCTCCCTCCAACACACATCTGTACGACGGCCCATTTGCACGTCTGACAGAGGATTTCCTGAGCCCTGGCTGCCACCACTCACCTCTGTCAGACCGCTTAATTAACCAAACCTGACAAGTGTGCAATGAGCTCTGCCAAAATGTCACGTCTTTATTCCCTCTGCTGACAAAGCCTTCCCTCTGTCAGCTGTGAGGAAAGATATGAATCTCCTCAAACAGGAGATATGCCAATCAATTGAAGTTTGACCATATGATGTTACTTTAGAAGCGCACCGTGTCGATCCAGAGCTGCGATGCCCAGCTGAGCGTGAAACTCTCATAATCTCACACAGTCACGCTGCTTACATGTATGTCTCTTGTTTCTCACAATTTGTTGCGCTAATATTGTGATGCTGAGGGGAACAGGGTCTGCTATATTTTTGGAAAAGACGGTCTCTGCCAATGCGCCAAGCTCCCACTGCTATGGTATGCAGCAGCTGGATAGTCAAGTTAACAGAAGCAGTGCTACTGTGGGAGGCAGGAAAAATGCAAACGCTGCTGCTTATCCTCTGGAGACACATTTAAAAAGAATGAGAGGGAGAAATAAACAAGGGGCATCTGAGTAGTTTACATCTCAGAGGGCACAGTATGTAAAACAGGGGGCTTGTGGCAGCCAGATATGAGTGCTATGTTGAAGGGGCAGTTCAGAGGCCGTGTTCACACAGGGAGTGTTACGGTTTATTCAATAATCTGTGGAAGCACCAACAGCTCTGAGGCACTACGGCTGCTGCTTGTATTGTATGTACCCAGTCTACAAATGAGTTAGATGTGCGCTTAGCCATTACGGCAGTGTACAACATGTATTGTAGTCACCCCCGGGGGAGCAGCAATGAAACACTGTCGATAACATTGTGTTAAGTTGCAATTGGGCTGTTGTGAGTATTAATACAAAGAGAAAAACACATCTTCAATCACATGGAAAATGCCTTGGGGCAGTCTGTCACAATACAAACACAAACACACACACACACACACACACACACACACACACACACACACACACACAGTAAGTCAAGCGACGTAAGGTCGATCCTTCCTACAGAGATGAAAGATTCAATAATCTGCGGCAGAATTAAAATGAGAGATTTGAATATTCAGAGAATCTGTCTTGCTCTCTCTCTCATGTTGCTCTGTGCCCTCCTGTGCTCTGCTTTCTCTAATTCCTCTTTAATCTCCACAGTCAACACCTCCTGAGCCCCCTTCTGTCTTCAGCTCTCCCACACACACACACACACACACACACA